GATTCCGCTCGGGGGCTCCTCCTTCACACCACCAGAGCAGGTGGGGTGCGCAGTCATCACCCTCTTCAGCCTGTGTGCCCCCTCGACCGAGTTCTTCCCAGCCGAAGACCCGGTCCTGGAACAGTGCCTCCCGACTACCGCCGCGGACGAGGCCACGTGTGTGAGCTCGAACCTCTACCGGGCACCCGGCTCGGTGAGGGTCCGAGGGCCGCCGCAGGCCAATCCGGCCTTGCCGGACAAGAACGCTCCGACCACCACAGAGACGCCGCACCCTTCTTCCAGCCGCAACACCGCAGGCCGGGCGGAGGCGGAGGCGGAGGCGCGGCGACGGAGCGAGCCCGTGTGCGCAAACGCGACGAGGACGGCAGGAACGCGCGGAACCACTTCCGGGGCGCGGCGGCTTGTCGGGGGAGTCCTGCCGGGGCGCGGGTGAATCCTTGCCCTCGTTCCTTCGCAGGGTCGGGGGGACGGTTCAGCTGCTTCTGCTCTTTTCTTTCTGGTAGAGGCGTATGGCAACGATGTGAGTTTCACCCGCCCAACCAGGCAGCCGGGGCGCTCTCTGCAGGGGTGTCACCCCAGTTAGGTCCAGCTGTCTCCACTCTCCCCACGCCCCAGAAACACGTCCTTTTCATTCCTCACGATCTTTGTCGTCCGGTCCCGGCTCATAAGGAGCACATTTTGGTTGCTGAGATGGGGAAGAAATGGGGTTAGGAATACCTCACATGAACGTGTGAGTAGGCCGTAAGACATAGGGACAGGAGGGGAGACCTGAGAGAGAGTGGGGCTCTCCCTTGGGTCTTGAGAAGGGGAGGTGGGCAGAAGGCATGGCGTTTAGACTGAGAAGAAAGGGTTCTGCAGACTGGGAAAAGGCACGAGGTGGGACGGGGAGCCAGCGAGGGCAGTGGCCGCGTCTAGTTGAATGGCAGGCTGCAGCTGGTCGGTAAAGCTTATAACTTGATTTGCTTTGTGACACGTGTCCCAGACTGCAGTGTTAAAGAGTGGGGAACTGGTTTTCTGATAAACAGAAATGATAATAGCCTGCTGTTCTTAAAATGAAAAGTGGTTTAATTTCCATTAATTTCCCAGTTGAATTAATTCAGCCTTGAGAGGATGCTGTCCCTTCATTATAATCAGTCTTGAAGAGCTGAGGAGAGATGGCTTGGTTTTCTGACTCTGAGACTACTGCTCTTACATTCCCCCACCCTTTTACTATCAGACTCTGTATATGGCCCCTCTGAGCTTTACATAAAGCCTGATCTATTGTTCCACTAATCAGTTTTTATCCTGAGTTTGGTTGTCCTCCACACCTTGAATCCAGACATGCATGGACTTGCTTAATTTGTTATCCGATAGCAGGGATTAGGAGATTCCCCATTTGTCACTTTTCATTCCTTTGTAGCCTAATAATGGGATGGTTTGGGCCATGTAGGTGATGCTGTATGCTTAAGTCTGAGTTGTCTGTCTTCATGGTTATCAAGCAGAATTTAAAATATAATTGTGTATGGTGCTTGTTAAGTACTGTTCACTATGTTTTGGAGTCAGTTTGTACTGTTGAGGGATCTTACACAGAAAAGTGGCAATGAATTTGCCGTGCAAATGATGTTTTTTGCTTTTCTTTTGCGTTTCCTTTTCTGTTGCTGACTCTCAAAAAGGTGTCTGGCCTATAGTGGATGCTAAGTATTTGACAAATGAACACACAGCAGCAGTCAGGCTGTCCTGAAAACCATAGGGTTTGCTGAGGAAGAGGAATAATGTTCCAAGCTTGATTCCATTCTCCATTCTGATGATCTACTGTCTGGCAGCTGATTTGTTTAGTTGACCCATTGCTCCTGAAATACACCGAAGTGGCTGACTAGTGAATTCCACGGTATCTAAGAATCCCGATAGATGTAATGGACAAGCGACAGAGGCAAGAATCCTCTTAGACATTATCTAGCACCTAGCTGGCAGTTGTATTAATTATGACTGGTGAGTACCTTATTATCTTTTCAACTTTATTTTTAAAATATTTAAAGAACTAGGCCTTTTAAACAGTTATAATCATTTACATTTTTCAAGGCCTTGTCATCAGATTTATGGCTTTTGCAGGTTCCCTGTAATTATCTTTGCTTACTTTTTTGCTTTCGCACTTTGGCAGCATTATATGGCAACTTAGGTTAGTTTGTAGATCAGGCAAAAACCTTGGGTGGGCAGAGGGTTGGCTGGTGGCAAATAGGCTATAGAAAGGTGTTTTGGCTCTCTAGATTCAATTCATGTTACCCCATGATTAAGAATATTTTGGACGGTGGTCTGTTTCTGCACTTGGTTGAAATTTCATAAGGTACTAGAACATCTGTCTACTTGGGGGAAAAAGAAACAAGTTCTTACAAGTAAGTTCATGTTTGCAGAATATAAAACTATTATTTCTTAGTGGGTTGTCACTGGTCATTAGAAAATTGACACTCAGCTTCAAGTCCTTTCTTCTTAAAATCTAAAAACCTGAAATTTGATTTCAGGGCCTGGGCCAAAACCCTTCTTTCTTTGTCTGATTTATACTTGAGCGGGAATAGATAACCTTTATTTGGGCAGAGCCAACAAAACAGACACATACATACATAATGCAATTTAATAATCTGCAGTAAAGACTTTAGGTGTTTTGTCAACATAAGTTACAGTTTGTGTCAGGAAACACTGTCTAAAACCACTTGACATGGTGACCATAGTGCCCAGGATATTCTAGAAACCAATAAACTCATGTTTTAACTGAATACAACCTCCATATGATTTCCTGGGGAAAGCAAAGTTTAAAGATAAGTGGCTTTCACATTTTTTAGGTTGAATCATGTGAAATTGCTGATAATTAACCAGAAAAGGTGGCTATTTTTTGGGTGCCCCCCTTATAACTGTCAATTAAGAAAGGAACAGCTTCACTGTTTAACAAGCCCCAAGTGGCTGTGGAAGACTGTAACTGTGGCATTTGGGCATGACTGGACTGCACTGAGGAGACCACCACCTCTGGTGAGTTTCTTGCCTCTGACATTGTTTTTGTGGAAGGGCAGGGAGGGGTCTGGGATTTTGCTGATCAGTCAGCATCTCAGGATAGTTGGAGGAGAGGGAGTTCTTCAAGTACCTGTGAGAAAGTTTTTTGTCTTATTTACTACAGAATTAGAATTCAAGGTCACTGGAACATGTGACTGGAGTGTTTTGTGTATTAATGATGCCTACCATTTTATATTTCTATTAGGCTTAGAGACACACGTGGCTAAGATGAATCAATTGTATTTGCCTTTGAAATAACTTGGGACCAAAGAAGGTACCCAGAAGACCGAAACAGCAGACACAGGTAGCAGTACCTCTAGATAAGGTGGACAAGAGTGGTGCTCTAGGGCCTGTGATTTACTGGACATAAGCACATCACAGTGTTCCTGACAGTAACTTCCCTTCCCTGGGTACTACACAGTAGAGGAATGACAGGTAGTCCCTGTTAACTAAATAGTGCTCTTCATTTGATAATTCTGGCCCACTGAGTCTGCAAAGTATGTTAGGGGATAACAATTATTCTTAAACTTGTCAAGGTCTAGTGAATGAATCCCAGCCCACATTAGAGGAGCAGATGTCAGAATATTAATAAAACTGGACTTTCTGCAATTATTACTTCTCTGCTTGTTGCCATGTTATTACCTGAAAACTAGTAAAGAAGGAGAGTGGCTTCACTTTTATAGCTGTGGACAACAGCAAAAATACTTTGCAGACCTCACGGGCCAGAATTATCAAATGAAGAACACTACAGTTACCGGGGACTGCTGCTCATCCCCATACTATGTAGTACCTAGGTATAAGAGAACTTAATTGCCAGGAACATTGACAAGTATTAAGATACATATTTTGTTGTCAACTAAACCAATCATACTTTTAAAAGAAATTGAGTCAGACTTAGTCCAATGAGAAACAAGCTAATTTGAAAAGGTTGAGGGATCCCTGTCATCCACTGGCTTTTAAGAATGGATGTTTCAAACGTCTTCATGGTTTAGAGTGGGACGTGTCCCTGCAGACACACTAGACTTGACTGCTGAAACCAGGTCAGTAGAAACCATTAAAGTTTATTGGCGGTCACAATGCTTACACTGTATGCGGCAAACACCCTTACAAGTCTATCCGCAACCTGATCACGCAAGGAAGGATTCACCACACAGTCGCCAGAGGAGAAGAAAAAAAAACGAACAGGCTTGTTTCTGGGGGTAGAGGAGAGAAAAAAATGTAAAACCTAATTGATGAGTGTCCCATGGGCAAGAGCTGAACTAGAGATGCGTACAACTAGCAGCAACAATTGTGGAAAAAGTACAAGGCAAGTAGCTTTCTCCATTAATTTTCCTCTGTAGATTAATTTTTTTTTATATTCAAAACATTTATTATGGTTTTCATTTTATAAAAATGTATATTTTTAAAGGGGTAGGAGAATGTTAAATACTTCATGCCAGGCAGACCTTGTTATTAAGAACCCCTCCACTGTAGTAACAACTTGCTCCAGTTCATACATTCACGAGTGCAGGGTACATATATAAATATCCACACGCACACCTCCACACACACTGCCTCAAGGGCTGGGGAAGACTAAAAGTTGTTGGCCACACGCAGTTGGGCCTCTGGTGGACTCATCTAAATTGCTCACCAGAATAGCAGTGGGCCGAACTCCTTCTCTCTGGTCTCCACCTTAACAGAGACCAAGAGCCCTAAATCATAGAGTTACATCCGACTTTTAAAAGCGAGAGGCATCTGTCTGGGGTTGAGGGTAAGCCAAGTGGGAAAAAGGATGAAGCCAAGAACACCAAACAGTTTTAGCTGGAGTTGTCTGTCACTGCAAGAGGCCAAGGGACCTAGGGCAGCATCTACGGCTGAAGGGGAGGGACGGTGCTCTGCATGGCTTAGAGTTCCTAATAACAAGGGTAATACAGTAACAGGAAGTGATAATTTTGGGGGCAAGGAAAGGGCAATAAGAAAAAATATACATTTGGAATTTTTACTTTTTTTTGCCTCTCTACACTGTGTCACTAAATATATCTCTGCACGTTCACACATCCTTGTCCAGTAAAGCTTCAGGCCACCATAATACACATTTTTTCCTCACTCGCATACACAACCCCTCACGTCAGCATTGGTGCACTAGACTCTGTAAAAATTTTTCAGTCACACTTTTTGTTTTTAAACTTGAGTCAATATAAACCTTGTTCAAAATGTTATGAAAAAATGTACATGTTTATACAAGGCAGGTTGTGGCAGGACACTGGGGGTTCTCCCCCCTTGGGTGGCCCCAGGAGGAGGGGGCTGGAGTCTCACACATTTGTGTCTCTATCTCCTCCCACCACCCTTCCTACCCAATCCCCCAAGAACCAGCAGCGCCCTGCCCCCTAGTGAGTGCACTCACACCCCTATTCCCTGGGGAAGTAGCTAGTTGACCATTGCCATTTTCCCCACACCCCTGGAGACGGAGCCAGGATCAGCCAGGCCCTCTCCCTTGTAATTGCTCGCCCCTCTGGGCCAGACCAAAGGGACGCTGCTCTGTACAGGTAGGGTCCAAGGAGGTGTCAGCTCATCATATCATTGCTATTCACGCCATAAGTGGAATTCTTCATCGAGTCGTTGACTTCTCGACGGAATGCAGACAGGTTCTGGGTGAACCTACAGAGAGGATGCATGTAGGTTGTGGGAATAGGGTGGAAGGGAAAGGTCTCTGCCTAAAATGCTTCTAGCAGACAAGTAGCTACTGAGAGACAGAATGTGTGAATTGATGGGTTCTGTTTCTAAGGTCAGTTAATCTCAGTCTTAAGACATTAAGGGAAAATTGGGCTAGTTTTGTGCTCCTTTTTACCTGACAACTTCATGGCAGGTCTCGAGATCTGGTCAAATCTGGGGCTTGAGGGCCACCTTGGGCTCATGGCAGCACAAAAGGAATCTTACTGACAGAGGTGGGAAGTAATCGTCACAAAGTGAGGGCAGGAAGAGATTGAAGCTATCTCATTTCTTATTGCCAAGAGACCTATGGTATAGAGCTTTGCTGTCCAATATGGTAGCCACTAGCCACATACGGCTATTGAGCACTTGCACTGTGCCCAGTGCAACTAAGGAACTGAATCAAATTAAATTTAAAATTCAGTGCCCCAATCGCACCCTAATTAATTTAAAATGCCCTATTTTAAATTAACTAAAATTAAATAAAATTTAAAAATTAATTTAGAAAAGCCTGATATTCAATTCAGTTATTGAACAACTTCTAAGTATGTTTGGAACAACTTGAGTATGGGAATCTACTTTGTCAACTGTAAATTTTATGAAATCTAAATACAAATCAAGTACTTCCAATGAAAATTTAGCATCTGAATTGAGATGCCCTGTTAAGTGTAAAATACACAGGATCTTGAAGACTTAGTACAATGAAAAGAACGTTAAAATTCTCAATTTTTAAATATTAATTTAAAATATTGATAATATTTTGGATACACTGGGTTAAATAAAATGAATTTTGTCTGTTTCTTTTTACCTTTTTTAATGTGGTTACTAGAAAATTTAAAATTACTTATGTGGTTTGCTTTTCCACTGGACAGCACTGCTTTAGATGGCCACTAAAAGACTTCTAAGGAATTTCCCTTGTCTCAATGATTTGAAAAATAACAATTGCCTAGGATTTCTTTGCAGGACCCTCCTCTACACTCACCTGTCTCTGTTTTTCGTAAGAAGATTTCGCTCAATGCCTTCCATCAGGTTTTCGAAACACAGATGCATAGCCTGCTGCTTCTCTGGTGGCTGGCTGTTCACGATACTGTTCCTTAGGTCAGAAAAATACTGTGGGGTAAGGAGTGAGAGAGGGTAAGAAGAGAAGATGGGGAAATGCAGATTAGCCCTCCACAATCTGCAGGGTTGAAGGAATGTTCTTCTCCGAGAAGAAATGGAATATCTACTAAAATTGGATACCCTTTTTTGTGCAAGCAAGTACTTGTAAAATAATATATCTTTATCTTACTTAAAAATCAAGAATTTTAAATTTGTAGGGGCCAGCCCAGTGGCGCAAGCGGTTAAGTGCGCGCACCCTGCTGCGGTGGCCCGGGGTTCGCCGGTTCGGATCGTGGGCGCGTACCGATGCACTGCTTGTCAAGCCATGCTGTGGCAGCACCCCATATGAAGTGGAGGAAGATGAGCATGGATGTTAGCCCACTGCCAGTCTTCCTCAGCAAAAAGAGGAGGATTGGCGGATGTTAGCTCAGGGCCGATCTTCCTCAAAAATAAATAAATAAATAAATTTGTAAACACTATAAGGGTCATTTGGTCCAGATTCTTCTTTTACAGGAATATGTCGACTTATTTATGTTTGTTTATGGCAGAGCTGGAACTAGAACTTAGGTCTTAGGTGCTCTGATCTCCAGGTATATTCTCTCCTTCTAACACTTCCTCATCCTTTACCTTTTTCTGAACTGCCACATGTGCTGACTTCTAACAGTTAAACGATGATGTGTTATTCGAAGCATAAAAAGGACAGGCTCAGAAATGGGCCATTTTCCCTCTGTTTCACCACTGTGGGGTGTTTCTGTAAGTATTTTTCACAGTGCCCTGGAAAATGATAGCCAAATGCATGAGTACTCCTGCTTTTGGCTCTAGGCACCAGGGAGCTGGCTCTCTTACCTTCTCATTAAGTAGTATCAAGCCAAGTAGGGGTCGGGACATAGACCACTGGTTCCTACAGTCTTCAAAGATGATGATGTTCAGCACCGTTGACAGCATCTGGAAATGGAGAATCTGAGGCAGTGACTTGGTTTGTGGCTACCCAAGATATAAGTACAGATTCCAAACAGAGTTTATTAGGTTGAAGGCTTTCTCTGTCTGGGGTAAAGCAGACAGTTTAGGAAGCTTCATTTTAATCTTCTATTATTACAAGACAAGTTTTTCTTCTAAGGTATTTCCTTTTCTGTTCTTTAAATTGGTTTGATAATTCACTTAAAAATGGACCTTTCCAGTTCACCCTGATTTTTGTGGGGAATGGGATGGGTCAAGCAAATGATTACAGTAGGCAAAATCACTTCGTACTCTATCTCCCAGGTGCTTGTCTCAGAGGAGATAGCTTTATAACATTTTGAGGATGTGATGGGAATGTGAATTATTTCACTGTTTCTTTAGAGAACAATGTAGACAAAGATGAGACTGGTTAAAATATTATTGGCTAAAATCTAAATAATTCCACCAATCCCATTTCTTTGCCTATTTTTATCTAGTATATTTTTGCAAATCTTATTGTTGAAAAGACGCGTACAAATAGAACGATGGCAAGCATGTGGTTTGATGTCTGTGTGGTCAGTTATTTCCTTTTGTCCTGCATTCTTATTCCCATTCTGGTGGGAAGCTTTACAGCTGGATACTGCTAACTCATGCCCCATTTATGGCAATGGGTGAGCAAAGTCACTGTCATGGAAGGGGGATAGTGCTCATGGGACAGGCCCAATGAAGGCACGGAGCTTGGTGTGACACTCAACAATTCACTACAGCCAAGACATGGAAGCAACCCAAGTGTCCCTCAACTTATTGGATAAAGAAGATGTGGTGTGTGTACACACACACACACACACACACCATGGAATACTACTCAGCCATAAAAAAACACAAAATCGTCCCATTTGCAACAACATGGATGGACCTGGAGGGTATTATGTTAAGCGAAATACGCCAGAAAGAGAAAGATAAACACTGCATGAAGATAAACCAACACATGGACAGACAGAACTGTTTGGTGGTTAGCAGGGGCAAGGGGGGTGGGGGGGGTGAGCACAAGGGGTGGAGGGATGCATTTATATGGTGACTGAAAAACAATGATGTACAACAAAAATTTCACACACACACAAAACAATTCAGCACCTGATTTTTTTCATATTTTCTATATCCAGTGATTACTCAGCCAACTCAAAATCCATTGCAATTTTAAGGCGTAAAATTTACCTTGGCGGCATTAACCTGGTGAGATGTTAGTCAGACTCATCTTGCTTCACCTCCCATCTCTTTCAGGTTCTTCCACTGTAGGACACCTGACACTGCCTCCTAACCCTCATGTTCCTTACCTGCTGGATCATCTCTGGATGCTGCTGCATAATATGCAGAAAGCGGTCACTCTCCTGGTTCAGGGGCGTCGTCCTCTTCTTGGTGCTACGTGACAGCTGCTTGAAGAGATACGTCACAATGTGGTCCAGGCAGGAGCAGCAGCCTGTGCACACCATGGTATCTGGGACAAAGGAGGACAGGGGTGGAACAGAGCAGGAACAGGTGGAGTAGAGCTGCTGATGACTTGGGCAAACATGGATTGCCCTCAGCTGAGATCCCACAGAGGTACCCAGTCAGACTGGGAATTGTGGCCATTTCAGCCAAGGCCACTGCTTGGGATGCTTCCTGTTAACTTCTCACCTTCATCATATAGCAAGGCCCAATTCTAAGTTGGAAAGTGAGTGTGTGATAATAGACAATATAAATAAATAAATATTGAAATTATTGACTCAATGTGGTGTGGACATATGTCTTCTGCCTAGTGGTTCAAGTTCAGCATGCTCCGCTTTGGTGGCCCAGGTTTGGTTCCTGGGTACAGAACTACACCACTCGTCTTTCAGTAGCCATGCTGTGGCGGCAGCTCACATAGAAGAACCAGAAGGACCTACAACTAGAATATACAACTATGTATTGGGGCTTTGGGGAGAAAACAGAAAAGAGAGAGGAAGATTGGCAACAGATGTTAGCTCAGGGCAAATCTTGCCCAGCAAAAAAAAAAAAAAAAAAGTTTACATATAGCAAGTACTTCTATTGTGTCAGATATTGTGCTAAGGACTTTATAGGTATTATCTTATTTATCCTCTTCAGAACTCTAGGAGGCAGGTGTTCCATTTTATAAATGAGTAAATCAAAGTGTGAAGAGGTTATGTGACTCGCCTCAAGATCACACTGCTAATAACTGGAAGAGCTGTGATTAAAATCCAAGCAGTCTGAGTTGTGAGCCTATACTCTGAGTTACCTGGGTGATGTCAGTAAGCACAGCTTAACATAGCTATCAACATCTTGTTTGTTAGAGTGGGGTACTGTATTCTTTGTTTATCTCCAAAACATCTCGGAGGGATTATGGGGCAGGGAGCTGCAGACTCGTCTCTGCATTTTACCAAGGTGGCACTGCAGCACAGCCTGTGGAAAAAGCTCTGACTAGGTGAGGTACAGGCCAGAGCACTAACGGATGAACCCTTACAGAGTAAACCATTGTTTCCGTTTACATAGAGGCCCCTCTATTTTTGAGAAGCTATAAAACAGCCTTCCAAAGCATGGTCTGATACCTTGGCTAGACTGTCCTAGATATATGGCTATGCACTCCGCTGGAAGTAATACATAAAAAAGAAGTGGCACAGAGGTGTGGACAACTCACCACAGTAGACAACCCAAAAGTCATTCTATGTGCATTTGCAATATGTCATGATTATTTTACAGCTGTCTTCCTATTTATGTTTTGCTCAGCCCAACATAAAAATGTATTTTATTCTCTGAACCCATACACACCTACTTAGATTGCTAGAAGGCAGCCTAGGAACAAAATGGTTGACAAGAACCAGCTGGAGTAGGATGGAAAAATTTACGGAGCTAGCTGAGTAAAGCCCTTCCACAGCTTCTACTGTCCTCAGGATAGACTCCAAACACCCTGATATGGCTTAAGGGCCCCCTTTGTGATCTCTAGATTTCTCCCGCCTATCTATCTAGCTTCACTTCATTCCTCTCCTCTTCTGCACGAGTGTGCCAGCCACCTGGATTTCCCAATGCTTTCTTGCCCCTGGGTGCTAGCACTTGTGGTTCCTACTGCTAGGAAGCCTCCTCCACTAACCTGATAAGGCCTGTTCAGCTTTCAGGTTTACACTCTGATACCAAGTCTTCCAGCCAGCTTTCCTTGACCCTACCTCCTCAAAACCAGGAGCTGAGGTATTCTTCCTGGGAGCTCCCACAGCACTTCATACTCACCCCCACCATAGTGTGTAAGTAGGTAAGTGTGGTCAACAGGCTGTTGTCTGTTTCATCCACTAGATAAAAGGCTCCTAAAGGGCAGGGACTAGTGTTATTAATTACTGTATCCTTAGTGCCTAACACAGTGCCTGGTCCTTAGGAGGGGACCAGCAAGTATCTGCTGGATGAGAATGTACCCATGAGTCATGTACTCTGTTGTTAGGGCCAACTCCCCAAAGTAGTAATCATATTGGATATGGGGCAAGTATCTCCCTTTTTGTTTAGTTAAGTCGTAAAAAGAAACCAACCAACCCAGGGGCTTACCAAGTGCAGTAAGTCCTTCAGAAATGGAAGAGAGAATATACATGATGACATGAGGTTCCAGGCTTGCAATAAAGTTCATGTGGTCCTGGGTCAGGACTTCCAGTAGTGAATAATAAGACTGGCTGAGCTTGGGGTAATCCTGTGGGAGAAGAGGAGGATAAAAATCAGCTTTGGCGCTGTGTACCCCTGCATGCAAGGAGCCAAGACCTTAAATAAAATAGCTTAGTTCCCTTCAGATGTGAAGACAAAAGGCCTAGTTGGAGCTAGCTTATAGTTCTCAGAGAAACATTCAATCATGATCTCAGGGAAAAAAAAGACAACAGGATGAGGGCCCTGGAGCCTGTCAATGAAGCTTAAGGCTTACCAGGAGATCACTGTGGGGAATAGAGAGGAGCAGCTTGATGAAGGTCTGTAGAGCATTGTCCAGGGCATCGTCTCCATAGAGACGGAAGACTCCAAAATTGACATAACTCCCACTGAGAGCAGCCTTTAGCATGGAGAAGCAGATGGAGATGCCCTTGAGCTTCAGTGCATACACCTGATCCTTTGGGACCTCTCCTAGTGTCAGGATGCGATTGCCTGAGTAGACATGTGATATATATATATTTATTCAACCACATTATAGTTGATAGTTTACATACCAACTCAACCCTCCTACTCCAAAGGCCCTCGGTGCCAGTTGGCACTGTAATACAAATGTTATGAGCAACACAGCATGCCTTGACAGTGCTGTCCCGGCCACTGCCAGGGCTAGCCTGAGATCCAGACGGCATACAGTATGGTGATGGAGCTGGAATTCACTTCCAGGGTTATGTTCCTCTAAAGAACCTACCATACATTGTTATCATCTTGCTGGTTTCTCTGAAGAGTAAGATGCCATTGGGGGAAGAAACATCAAACTGGAGTCGCTGGGATCTAACAGAGAGCACAGAAGGAGAAAAAGTCAGAGGCATGTTGCTGGAAGATTGCGGTACTTCAGGCTCTCATCTGAGTACCTCGGGTGATTCTTTTTGCACTAAGATGTGCAGATTACCTAGCCTAATGTGAAATAATCAAGTTAATCAAAGATATTTAACCACTGATACAGCTTATATCTTGAAGATCACCAAGCCAGATTCAAGTTCTGCTCAAACTGAAAATATTTAAAAAAATGAAGCAGCATCTATTTGGACAAGGGAAACAAAAGAAAAAATAAACAAGTGGGACTTCATCAGACTAAAGAGCTTCTGCAAGGCAAATGAAACCACGATCAAAATAAAAAGACAACCCACCAGCTGGGAGAAAATATTTGCAAATCATACATCTGACAAGGGGTTAATCTTGAACTCACACAACTGAACAACAAAAAAACAAACAACTCAATAAAAAAAGGGGCAGAGGATATGAACAGACATTTTTCCACGGAAGATACACAGATGGCCAATAGGCACCATGAAAAGATGTTCAACATCACTAACCATCAGGGAATGCAAATCAAAACTACACTAAGATATCATCTTACACCTCTCAGAATGGCTATAATCACCAAGACAAGAAATACCAAATGTTGGAGAGGTTGTGGAGAAAAGGGAACCCTCATTCACTGCTGGTGGGAATGCAAACTGGTGCAGCCTCTATGGAAAACAGTCTGGAGAGTTCTCAAAAAATTAAAAATAGAAATACCTTATGATCCAGCTATCCCACTACTGAGTATTTATCCAAAGAACCTGAAATCAACAATCTAAAGAGGCGTATGCACCCCTATGTTCACTGCAGCATTATTCACTATAGCCAAGAAGTGGAAGCAACCTAAGTGTCCCTCGACTGATGACTGGATAAAGAAGATGTGGTATATATATACAATGGACTACTACTCAGCCATAAAAAGACACAAAATCGTCTGATTTGCAACAACATGGATGGACCTAGAGGGTATTATGTTTAGTGAAATAAGCCAGACAGAGGACACACACTGTATGATTTCACTCATACGTGGCAAATAGACTAACACATGGACAGAGAGAACTGTTTGGTGGTTACCAGGGACAAGGGAGTTGGGGGGTGGGCACAAGGGGTGATGGGACGCATTTATATGGTGACTGACAAACAATAATGTACAACTAAAATTTCACAATGTTACAAACTACTATGACATCAATTAAAAAAAAGCAAAAAAAAAAAAAGCAGCAGATAAAATTATTCTCTTAAAATTCTCAAATTTATTTGATTAGTATAGCTTGTACCACAGTCACTTCTTGGTAGTACTAACTCACAGCCCTTTGGACATGAATCTACATTTACCTTTATAGCTTCAGTGGCAGCTGAGGGAAGGATATAAGCATTGTTACCACTTTATCAGAAGAAAAGATGCAAAGGGACTTGGAATGCTACAACAGCAGTCAGGCAGGGAAGGCAGACATCTTAACCTGAGTTTTGAGTTCCTGAGTGTTTCCTAGACTAGAGTACTTCTTCGGTTTGCTCCACCTTTTAAGGAGCTTCACTGATCTAGTTGGTAAGGCCTCAAACCCAGGAGTCCTTCATGATTTTCTTTCCTTCCCTCCCCACACTGAACGCTTCAAGGTCTAGCTCTACAATATGACTGAATCCATCCATGTCCTGTATGGTTCTTCTGCTTCCACTCTTGCCCCCAGAGTCCCATTTTTCATCTGGTGGCTAGACTGATACCTTTAAATCATCAATCCCTTGCTTGAAAGACTTTCTTCAGCAGCTTCCCACTGTAATGAGGATACATGCCCCTTCCCCACTGCTGCACTACGTCACTATACCATCCATCCTCTTGCCTGTCTGTCTCACTCACTGCCTGCCATGGCCTCCCCTCACTCACCACGCTCCAGTCAGTGGCATTTTTCTGTCTCAAGTCCCAGCAAGCTCATCCCATCTTAGGACTTTTTGCAGCTATCTTCTCAGTTCAGAACGCTCTTGTCCCTTCTCTTTGCAGGGCTATCAGAAACTTTCTCATTATTCAGATCCCAGCTTAAACATCACCTTCTCTGTCCCTCCTCTCCTTCAATTCCTCTGTTTTATTACCTTGTTTTGTTTTTTTCATAGCACTCACTACTGTCTGAAATGATCTTCCACACTTGTTTTACTGTCTGTCTTTCCCCAAGAATGTAACATCTAAGGGGGCAGAGGTTTTGTCTGGCACAACAGCTAGGAAAGTGCGTGGCAAAGAGATGCTCTCAAATGTCTATTTTATAAATGAATAACTCTTGATCATAAGCCTCATAGGAGGCTATAGCCTCTTTGAATACTACCCACCCCCTCACTAAGGTAGTCTTAAAAATGACTAACTCTCTCAGGAGTGCCATGAGAGGCAGATGCATAGACCTGAAATTCTAGTGAAATCAAAGTGCTGGATTTTTTTTTCTCCATCTCTAAATTGTTGTGCAAATCTAAAATTTGGTATTTTGGAAATCTTGCTGTCTTTTTAAGTATATCTTTACTGATCCAGCTGTAATTTGCCAAAACAAATACCTTTCTTTTTTTTTTTGCTGAGGAAGATTCGCCCTGAGCTAACATCTGTGCCAATCTCCCTCTACTTTGTATGTGGGTCACTGCCACAAGTGTGGATGACGAGTGGTGTAGGTCCACGCTAAGGATCCAAGCCCGTGAACCTGGGCCGCCGAAGTGGAGCACGCTGGACTTAACCACTACGCCCCGGGGCCAGCCCCAACAAATACCTTTCTTAAGAAAGGATATTCTTGTGTGTCCTGGCTCACCCTCCACTGTCTCTCTGGAATGTGAACTATGAAAGTGGTGGACACAGCACCATTACTGAATGTTAACTTTGATGTATCTGGGTGGGGAAATTAGAACCTTGGTTGCCAAATTCACTTCTCATAAGAATCTTGAGACTCTTTTTAAAGTGACTTCTTTCCTGCAAGCAGCTATGGCTTTCTGTGGTTGGGGACACCCTTCCTTCAAACAAACAAAGACATACACACATTTACTTTCAGAGGTTTTCACATTCTGATAGCAGTGAATCTTAATATCTCCCACAATCTCCGCACAACACCAGACAGAACAAATTCTCTTAGGGCTTTCTCAGACAAAAGGGCAGTTGTGCCCTTTGAAAATCTTTTCCCTGCTTACCTGTTATGAACTAATTCAGCCATCAGCTTGAGCACAGGTGTGGTACAGGCTGGATCATGGTACCATAGCTCAATTGCCCGCTGGAGAATTGGCATGTAGGATGGATATCTGTAAATGAAAAGCTAAGGAGGAATTTCTGAATCCAGAAAGGTACAGAATTTTAAATAATTTCTCAGCACTGGCCAAGCACAGTGCTGAGAATTTGAACTATCAAATTATAGTTCTCTAATTTCCTGTCTCTTGCTTATTAGAGTCTTTCTAACCAGAAGGTGCTAAAGTGATTGTGTATCCTTTAACTTGTAATAGGCATCTAATAATACACTGTAATTTACATTATGCCTTTCTTCTGAAGAGTACAATGTATTTCATGTTGTTATTTATCCTCTTACCTCATACACTTCTGTGATAGGATACGAATCAGCTATTTCCATTACATAACTATTGGAGAAACAGAGGCACTCAGATGTGAAATGATTTGTTCAGGATTATGAAGTCAGTAAGGTCAGACTTTCTAATTCCTAGTAAAGCTGTCTCTTTTTTAGTAGACTGAAATGTTTCTAAGTGTAGCAAAATTCACGTGCAACAGTTTCACAGTGGTATTGTTCCACAGGCATTTATATCTGGGACCCAAAAAGAAACTGGGAAACTAGCTCATTCATTTCCTAGTCTCAATTCCCAGAGCAGGCAACATTATATCATTACACTACTACGGAATGGCAGCTTACAAGATACAAGACAGGCCTTTTGGGCAACTCTTCACCTTCTTTGCCTTACCATTCCTTCCCTACCCCTCCTCCCCCGATGACCTCCATCACCCATTCATGCTCCAGTTAATGCTTGCTGTGGTACGCTCCCAGTTTGCATTAGGATACATCCATTCAAACAGCATCATGAAGCTGGTCTTGGCATTGAAGGCGAAAGCTATCCCTCTCAGGTCTCTTACTAGGCCAACTAGAGTTCGCTGTAGTAGAAGGCAAAAATATGTTAAAATAGAATAAAAAGCACACCTATAACCACCTGATGGGGATCTCACATATCTGTAATCAAATTCTTTCTCCCATCATTCAAGAAATTCTCCTTCCCAAATATTCCTAATCAGTCTCTTCCACACTATTCCATACAATGGAATCTTTTCACTTTAAAAATTTTGGAAGCTTCTTATACTAAGAAAAAGGGATGGTTCCTGACCCATCACAGCAAAAATAGAGGCTGATAAAGTTTTAAGACATTACTGCGATAAATCATATGTTACAAAGTGGAAAAGCAAAAAAGCTCATTTTAGAGGTAGAAAAAAGAAAAAAAGCAAAAAAGTCCATCCAAGAAGAGGTAGAAGACCCATATATCCTAAAGGTCTGGTACCACACCTAATTATACAAAGATGCTAGCACCACAGGAACACAAATGCAGACCCTGCCAGGAGGAAGACAAAGTAGTCTACATGGTACCTGCCCCTTTGGTTGGGGTGTCTGGAAATAAGGCCGACATGTTGAACCTTGGAGCCATGAAGTACTACACTATACTTCTAGAGAAAAAGAAACTGAGGCCTAAAGAGGTCAACTAATTTGCCCATAGTCATGCTGCTGGGCGACAAGAGGGCCAGGATTAGGACTCAAAGCACCAAGACCCCAAATCCAATGCTCTCTTTCTCAATACAGTCTTTTCTTGTGGGCCCTGAACAGCAATAAGACTGCCCTTAAAAGCTAATATTCATCAGCAGGTTCAAGGAGGCAGCACATTTGGGAATCCTGACTCATTTGCCAAAAACAACTGTACTGGCACCGGCCCGGTGGCATAGTGGTTAAGTGCGCACGCTCCGCTCTGGCGGCCCGAGGTTCGGATCCCAGGCGCGCACCAGCGTACCGCTTGTCAAGCCACGCTGTGGCGGCGTCCCACATAAAGTAGAGGAAGATGGGCACAGATGTTAGCCCAGGGCCAGTCTTCCGCAGCAAAAGGAGGAGGATTGGCGACAGATGTTAGCTCAGGGCTGATCTTCCTCACACACAAAAAAACAAACACAAACATAAATGTACTTCTGCTAACAGCCTGCTTTAAGCAAACAGTTCTATTCCTGAACTGACACCATAAGCTCATTGTTCAAGTCTAAGACATGGTCAAGCTAAAAGACTTGTTACAGTGAGGCGTGACACAGATGTGGGTAATGGTTGTAGTTCAAACTAGGCCAAGATGATTCTTTTTATTAATTTCATTTGCTTTGTATGGAACTAATGTGATGGGGAATAAGGGATGATATTCTCAGAGATCCCTCAATTATCCTTGATACTCGTTGATACGCTAGCCTAAGTTACCGATTCCGTACTAACCTTAGCCTTGAATGGTATCCATCTCAGACCTAAACACTGGTATAAAGAGGAGAAAGAGTTGGACAAAGTGGTGTTGTTCTCTGATTTCCTGACTGATTTGCAGATAGAAAACTAAGAGGCTTTCTAAAGATGAAAAAGGAGAGTTTTAGAATGTCAGGTAAAGCCTGGTATTTTTGGGGGCAATACCCTTGGTTATTTTGTGGCTCTATAATTCAGCCTCAGTATCATTACGAACATTGCAAAAAAGTCCTATGAATATTAATAGCCTAGTGTCTTCTGGTTAGGTACAGTGATCTATAGGTAAGGAGAGCAGGTGTGTGTGAAGTAAAAAGATGAGGAAAGCAAAAACCAAGAAATGACAATTCTGGGTGCCAGAAATCAATAACTAAAGATAACTTTAAAATTCCATATATACGAAAATTCACAAACCCTTCTAAATGACTTGCGTGTCAAAGAAGAAATCTTAATAGAAATTAGAAAATACAAAGAACTGAATGATAATGAAAATACAAAGAACTGAATGATAATGAAAATGTTACATATTAAAACTTGAGGATTCTGGAGACCCGTTTCACAACAGTGTGAATATACTTAATGCTACTGAACTGTACACTTAAAAATGGTTGGGGGCCAGCCCAGTGGTGTAGCGGTTAAGTTCGCATGTTCTGCTTTGGTGGCTCAGGGTTCGCAGGTTCTAATCCCAGCACAGACTGTCGCACCGCTCATCAAGCCACGCTGTGGCAGTGTCCCATAGAAAGTGGAGGAAGATGGGCACAGATGTTAGCTCAGAGCCAATCTTCCTCAGCAAAAAGAGAAAGATTGGCAATGGATGTTAGCTCAGGGCTAATCTTCCTTACCCCCCCCCAAAAAAAAAAAAAGATTAAGATGGTAAATTTTATGTTATGTTTTTTTTACCACAATTAAAAAAAAAAACTTGTGGAATAATATATCTAGAGGGACATTTATAGTTTTAAATGATTACATTAGGAAAGAAAAAGGGCTGAAAAGTAAAGAAGTTAGAACAACAGAATAACCCCAAGGATAATACATGAAAATAAAGATTAAGAGTAGAAATAAATGAAATAGAAAATACAAACAAAACAGCTAAAACAAAGCCCCCTCAAATTTTTTTTTTTTTACAATGACTAATAAAACTAACAAATCTCTGGAAGGACTGATCTAGGAAAAAAGAGAGAAAGCACTCGTAAGCAGTATTAAAAATAAAAAGGGGACAAACCTAAAGATACAATAGAGATGAAAAAGGCAATGAGAAAACATATAAAATAACTTTATGCTAATACATTTGAAAACTCAGACGAAAAATCCTAAGGGCTGCTTAAGAACACACTTTAACATAAAAATAGTTTATAAACCAAACTGGTTCTTTTATTTTAAAATCCAAGAGTCCAAGAGATTAAATAAAAAGCTAAATCAGTGGAAAACTCACGGATAAGCACTATTTTCTGCAGTGCTAGCTAATCTAATCTCTCTCAGGGATTGCCCTCAACCAGAAGCTGATCAATTAGTGGGTGAAGGACTCACCTTTGCCTCTTGCTCGTTGAAACTATTAGTGCTAAACATCTGGGCCACAGCCTCAAACGCTGCTGTGAGTGGTAGCATGAATTGCTCATACTGATCTTCATCCTCTCCTGGAAGGGAAACAATCCAGAGTGTGACCCCAATATAAAAAATTCAAAGCTGTATATGCATGGAAAATAAGATGGTATAAAGAAGAGCAGACCCAAGGATAATTCAAAGGGGTCCCTTTATTATCTCAATAGGTATTAGTAGTAATTTCAGAATAAAATGTATATATAGAAACAATTTTTAAACTAAAAAATGGCAGAAATCATCTAGTCCAGTGATGTCCAAATTTTTTCGATACGGAGCCACAATATCAGAGATTCATATAAGGTACTACGTTCTTTATTTTTCCTTAAGTGAGAACTACAGTCACTTGAGAAAAGACTGAGTCTGGTGTATGAGAACTAGATGAGACTCAAACTTGAATTAGGTGCTTGTGGAGGCTGCATTCACACTTCATTTTCAGTAATCTTGCGTAAACGTAGAAGGTTTTATAATGTCATTTTAGTAGGATTAAAATTAAATAGCTCAAAATTATGAGGATACATACCATTGAGCTTCAATTATTAGTTGACCCCAAACTGCTAATATCACAACTTGAGCTAGAAAGGTGCTTACACCCTCCTGGTTCATACATGCTAGTGAACCAGTAAAGACAGGTTGTGTTCACCGTCTCAAGTGAGTTGCACCTCAGTGTGTGTGTATGGGGGGTGGTTATCTGGCCAACAAGACGCATTTAGGAATCTCAATTGCCTTATTTTACAGAAGAGAAACATGAAGAGAATTTTAAAACCACTGCATATCAGATGAAAACTTCAGACCATACTGTTATTCTTTTCCAGTTACAGGGACTGTGATAGCACGATCTGTTCTTGGTGAAATCACACTGTTATTTCAGATAGGTTTGCTGCTGTTGAAACAGCAGGAAAGACCTCCTCCACATCTAGCTTTCTATCCAGTGAAAACAGAACAATGCCAGATGACCTCATGAGCCTCTAGGATGTATTGCAGTACCTAAATCCACCATGAGGAGACGCCCAAGTGCCGTGTAGAAGGTAGTCCGACACCGCATGTCTGTCAGGTTGGACTGATTGTTTATACCCAAAAATGAAAAGTGCTCGCTCTAATGAAGAAAAGAAAACAAGTTACAAGGATAAAAACATGGGTTAGAGGCAGAATGCAAGCCAGTAACTTTAGAATTACTGAGCCCTTTCAAGCTAATGGTTACATGGTCATTCCTTAAGGGTATGGGGGAATTATAATTTTTTTTATTATTGTTGTTGTTCCCTACAACTAATTTATCCTAGTATGAGCAACAGTAGGTGCTTCACCATAACTCAGATCACCTGGATCCCAAAGAGCAGCTCTGATGGCAGTAAGTGTGATCCGGCAGTGTGGTGGAAGGAGGGATCTGAACAGCCCCTCTGTACGTGGAGAAAGGGTGTGAGGGGGCAGCTGGAGAGCAGAGCAGGATGAGGGGCTCAGACCACTCACCGTGTGATTGTTCAGCATGAACTGCACGGCACTAAGCTTCACTAGTTTCCTTACACTACTGTACGTAAAGACAAAGGAAGGAGGTCAAGGAAAGAGTGAGGAAAACTGAGAATCCTTTAATGCAGAATGAAACTTTCTAGGATAAAGAACAACTTCCTCCTTTCTTATAAATTCCATACCCAGATATCTTTCTTAACCACGTGCACTGCTAAATGGGAAAAAAATGTGTTCTAAGCAGTATCCAGCTGATCAATGAGAGAATACCAAACTCCTATCTGTAAGAAAATAAATAAAACCCAGCAGTTTCCCCCAAGAATCATGAACATCCTAGAGGAGCTTTTCTCAATGGGGTTTCTAAGAGAGAATTAAGCCCTAAAGCCCAGCCTAAGGTGTGTGGTGAATTAACTTCTCTCCTATGCATTTATAAGGGTACTACCTATGTATAATCTTTGGGAGAACTGAGAAAAAAGTCACTCAATTTTTATAGGGTTTACTTCTTTTGCAGACCCTGGTTGTGAAAGGCTGTCTTAGAGCAACTCAAACTTTAAGCATACGTAGTCCAAGTCAAGAGGAAGCACAGCCACTACCTTTACTGCAAGGCTTGTAATCAGGCTGCTTCTGCCAATAGGCTGATAGACGCTGAAGAGGGACTTTGCTGCCACTGATGATGCTAAAACCTTGAGTGTGTCCTATCAGACAGATCTGTCAGGTATTTCTAGATCTTAGAGACAGCCAGGGATAAATCTGTAATAAATTATTAGCTTGTGGGTTGGCTCACTTTTGGGGTCCGAAATTATTCCTGGATTCTGTGTGGGTATTGCCTTTGGCTCCAGGAGAATGGAAGATACTTGAGTATATGTAAAGCTAAATTAAAGTGGAAACAGCAGGAAGCCATGATTTCTAAGACTGTGGCACGCTACAGTTCCTGTTGTGCACGGACGCTGGCTTAGAAAAGGATATCCAATGGAGAGGTCATTGAGAAGCTGTAGTGTCTTGGAGGTGATTGGTTCACAGCGGCCCCAGTACTTCAGGTTGGTGATGCTGGAGGACAAAAGAAAAAAAAAAGCAGGAGACACTTTTGATTTGCCTGGTTTCCTTCAGGGTTGGAAGAAGAAAATCATCCATCAAGAATCACCACACATCTGCATCACCAATTCACAGACATCACAACCACAAAAAATGGGTATAAAATCTCCGTACTTACATTTGGTTGACTAGAAAAATTATCCTTCAGATAATCTTCACTACTTGGTTCCAAAGCTACACTGGCCCATACCCAGGCCCTTGGAATTCTGGGGCACTCCAGGGCTGATTTCTGCAGCAAGGGTAAGAGATTTCTGCGGCAGTGATAACATGCAGACGTATGCAATTCTGCACCTGCACCATCCACTGTCAGCTGCAGAATTCTAGTAGCCCTTGCTTCTGGATTCTTGGCTGGCAGAGTCCTTTAGACCCCCTTTGCTTTTTTCATTTTAAATTATTGACCAGCTCATGGATATGAGAGTTTAGGATTGGGATGGCTGGAAGGAGGCAAAATGTCACTTTGCACACAGCCCTGGATAATATATTTGGCTCCTAGTGTGCGCTTTGATAAACTGAGCTCCTAAAAAGGGGAAAATGTAAACAAAGAGGCATAACTTAAAAACAGAAACAAAAACAAAAAAAGGGCCAATTAGGAGCTCCAGCAGTTTAAACAATAGCACTAGATTTTGGAGACTGAAGACTTTCAAAGGGTGTGATGCTTCTGGAGAGGAATAAGCCTGTTTTAAAGTGGGGCTCTCCTCCTGGGGGGCATACCTAGTGGAAATCAGCACCAGAAAGTGAATGCCCACGCTTGGCATCCCTAGCAGCAAGGTGCTTAGGTGAGAGGCTGAGCACAATCACTGGGGAGGGAGGTCCATTTTGCTAATGCCATGACAGGGTTTCACCCGTGATTCTAGAGGCTACAGATGAGATTCTGCATGAACAAAATTAAATCCTTGCCTGTACAAGCCTGGAATGCTCTGGGGCCGGGCCATATCTCTAAGCACAGCTTGTCACACACTCAAATGCACAATTTTCTGACGCAAACGATCAATGCTGGAATACCAAGGCACTGGCAGCACAATGCCAAGATCACATTTTACAGTTGCAACAGGATTGCAAGGGACTCTTGCTGATGGCAAGCCAAAACACTTACATTTTTCCTATGAAGACACTTAGGACCATGGTCTCATCATTCAAGCCCAGAACTTCTGAGAGTCGGCGATACAGCTGGAGTTACATTAAGGCAAGAGAAAGTAACCGGAAAATATGGATTAGAAAAATCATATTCCAGTACTGTTTCTGTCCTCACTCGGGGGGTAAGATGTAGGAAGAAAATGAACAACAATGCTGGGAAAGTCTTTATTGAAGGGATGAGCTAGTTTCTAAGTATTACTAAGTATCGGCTAGATGCTGAGCTATCTTACTGGTCCGCTTCAACCCTGAAATTACAAAAAGACTGTCAAAACCGTCTGCTGTTCTGAACATCAATTTATGTAGAGACTGAAAATTGCCAATTTTGGGGAAATCAACAGATGTTTTGACTGGCCATTTGTTAAGCATATGGAGCACCAGGAGAAATGGACCCAATTCTTTGATGAGTCTCCCCAGATTCTACAGAGTAAAAGGAGATATTTGGACTATCCTAATATGTAAAATCTAGAGATTATACCTGAACTGTTATCAGCCGTTTCCCTTAATCAGCAATTCTACAAGCAGAAGGGAGAACTAAATGGAACCAACTGAGAGTTTGTTACCTTAGAGGATTTTTGCACCTGGTCCCCAATGTAGATCTTACGAAACTGTTCAAAAAAGCTCAGCATGGCCAATTCTAACTTCTCGTTACCCGCCTGAGCCAAGCGAGAATCTGTTAGGTTCATGAGCTGGAGCACCCTAGAGGAAGAAGAGCAATGATCTTCTCAACAGCAGGATATCCTGTCACTCTAGAAAACCCAACCGGCCCCGAAATAGTCATATATGTCTCCTCTCCTTACTCATCCTATCTGAAAGGCATTCTCTGCAGTCTCTAAGCTCTGCTGAGGGAATAAAATTCTCCATTTCTGCCCCATAGGAACCACAGCCAAGGAATGAATAGGAATGATAGTGAGATGTTTAAAACTTCGAATCCACTGAACCTGTAGATGAGGCAGAACTCATAATTGGCTTAAAAATAGAGGGAAAAACACTGGTACTAGGGTAATAGTCTTCCTTGAAACTTTTGTGAGACCTTGAGTAAAGCAATTTTCTGAGTCCCAGTTCCTCATCTATACAATGAGGGAGACTGGACTAAACCAGTGGTTCTCAATCTTTTCTCTCACATAGCCATGAAAGGAATGGAGACACCTGAAGAACAACATTCACAGGCATGTCACACTTCCAGGGACCAAGAGCAGATACACTACCTCTGACTTTATCCCTTTTCCTTGCACTCACCCCTCCAAAAGAAAACGTATTGGAATGCGAGTGACTGAATGTTTAGTGAATAAGAATGATGTTATTACAAGTGAGTCATTTGACATTCTGATAGTATGACACTAGGTATCAAACTATTTGTGACATATCATGAGTGAATTAGACTCAGTTATTGTGTTGCAACACATAAGTGGAGAACCAGTATACGAGACACTGTCTAAACTCAATTTATATTATGACACACAAACAGTATCACACCAGGCCGCAGAGTCGGAAAGACACTAGATTTCTTCCTCATGAAATCTTTGCTCAACTCTTCAAAAAATGCCAGTGCGACATGCTATGGAGACTTCTGTCAGGATTAAGGCACCTAAGGGCAGATGGGCATCAGACAAGCCAAACTGGGGTAGAAAGAGAGAAATGGGGATTTTCTGAACAAGAATAAGAATTATAGATTGAAACGTCTGGGGACCAATAAATTCTAAGGCATCATTTTAAAATGTGTTTATCTCTAAGAAGAACATCTGCAAGTTTAGAACTCTTTAGGGTAGCAGTTCTCTGCAAGGTCAAAAAATCATTTTCATAAAAATACTAAAATATTATTTGCCCTTTCATTCACATTCTCACAGGAGGGTGCAGTGGGGTTTTCCAGAGACTACAAGATGTGTGATATCATAAAAAATTGAATGCAGAAGCAGATATAAAAATCCAGCTGACTTCTACTATGTCAGACATTAAAACAAAGCCACTTCTCTCATTCATTTTTTTAAAAATAGTTCTTTAAAAAATATATTATTTATGTTGACATGTAATGGGCTTGTGATTTAAAAATGAATAAATATTTTAAAAATTTCTTGGTTTTACTTTCTAATATGATAAATACCAAAAGATATATCTCACAAAAACAGAAGCTCTTTGAGGTCCTCAATACTTTTTAAAGAGGGTAAATAGTCCTGATGAAAAGGTTTGAGAACCTCTGCTATAGGGTATTAAAAAATCTCACCTTTTTATTTCTATGTTAAGTAAAAATTTTTAGAAATCATTAAATGCTCATTTACAGGTTTTTACTAAGATGAGACGCAAACAGATACAAAATAACTTGAAATCCTGTAGGAGGAAAAGTGTATGAAAGGCTGCAGAAAGTCTGTAATTCCATTTTTGGGGATATGTGAAAAATCGTAGTTTCCTAATAGACTTACTCTGGTATGGTAAAGCAGTTCACATTTCATTAACTCTGAGATAGTGTCCTTAAACAGAACTGAAAGCTACTCCCTACTCTGGTTTTCCTAATTCTGTATCCATCATTTCCTTGTTGAATCACTGTAATGTTTTTTTAGTAAAGGTTGTAGGCAGAGTTCTTGCTGTACTTATAAAAGGTTTGAAATTGGACCTGTAACAGTCCTTCATTTTCATGGGCAATCAGCTTCACGAGATTATATTCTATAAATGGGGAGGAAAGCATTAACAGAAGCATGTCAAGTTTCCATGGTCTCAGGACCCAAAAGAGGGTGGGGGAGTCACAGCAGCAGAATAGGAAGCCTCTGTGGGAGCACTTACCGACAGACAAGCTCGCCATCCATAGCATCCTGCTCATCAGTGCTGGCAAAAGAGACACGGCCACCAATCACTGCACCAATGATGTAAACCAGCCATGTCAGCCTTCCTGCAACAGGAAGAAGACCTGTTAGTGTCACCTCCAATAATAATTTTATGAGGAAATTCCTCACTCTGAGGTTCATTTCTTACTATGAGCTTCCCGAATCTTAGGAACACTATAGAGAAGCCATAAAGTCCTACTTTTCTTTTTTAATTTTATTTATTTATCTTCCCCCCCCCAAAACCCCAGTAGATAGTTGTACGTCATAGTTGCACATCCTTCTAGTTGCTGTATGTGGGACGCGGCCTCAGCATGGCCAGAGAAGCGGTGTGTCGGTGCGCGCCCGGGATCCGAACCCCGGGCCGCCAGCAGCGGAGCGCACGCACTTAACCACTAAGCCATGGGGCAGGCCCACGTCCTACTTTTCTTACAGAATGTAGCTACTACTCTGCTCTGGTAGGGTGATGCCAAGGGGGAAATTCATCCCCTTGAATTTGGAAATTCACCAAGGTTCTCGAATTAGACAAGAACCTTGTCATTACTTTCAAAGTGCAGTACTTTCTTAAAATTATACACACCCACTGCAGATATGATTTCACTCTTCTCTAGTCCCCTGTGGCATTTATTCACAAATACTCTTTTGTGTATAGGGAGGTAATGGATGATGGAAGAATCCTTTTGGGGGGAAGACAGGAAAGAGGTGGCAATGAGTAAAAGGGCACTGACAGCACCTCCTTACAGGCCCCGCCCACTGTCCACTCACCCTCCTGCACTGCAATATCCATGGGGCTTGCACTGGCACTCTGCAGCAGCTCCTGATAGGACTGGGCAGACTGGTCAAATAATTGCACGAGGAGCGCACACGTCTTCTCGTATTCACAGCGCCCGATTGTAGACAGCTGGTCCAACTGCTGCTGGACCAGACCTGTATCCTCCAGAGGATCTTCCAGTCCATCTCTACTCCCAAGGGAAGAAGGAAGGCAGCTCTCTTAAAACATGCCTACTGATTTCCCCATTGCAGCAGCTCTTTCTTCTTCATTTGGCTACTATTTCCAATCACAGATGCCCCCATCCCAACACTACTTTTTACCAAGGAAGGAAGATAAAAAAAGTTGGAAGGCAGATCTCTTCACCCTAGCATCAGTTTCTCGTAGGTATATTCTGCTTTCTGGTGTCCAACTTTTCAGTCTGAATTCCCAGTCCCTTAACATTTGTCTGCTTTGATCCTCTCAGTCCCATGCTTCTCACCCCTAGGAGCTCTTGGCTCGTAGCCTCTCACCTGTTCTCCACTATAGTAAACTTTGGGACTACAAGTATCCTGTCCCTTGTGTGAGGCCACTGTGACCAGATACGTTTTGGAATTCAGAAATCTTCAGATTTTAGGGAGGCAATATGATACTCTACCATGTAATATAAACGCTCAACGGGCTCTGTAGCATGTGAAATACAATATTTCTGTAGCAAAATGTATAAATATTATCAGTAGTCACACTAAGTAGAATTTTAAAAGAGGACTATAAATGGTCTCACATCAGCACATGTCAAGTTTTGCCACCCAGTGAGTTTTGGTGCCCAACTTATGAGAAAATTTAGTTTTCACATCTTGGATTTCAGAATTGCAGTTGAGGCACTGTGGGTCTACACTAGGTCTTGCCTTACCTACTGGTTCCTAGATTTAAAAATCTTGTCATATTACAAGCTCTCTGTCTATTGTTAGATCATAGTATGACAATCCAGCAGCAGCAGCAGCACCAACACAACTAGCAGTTCATAATTGTGTATTTACCATGGCCCACAGACTGGGCCAGGACATAGTAATTTAATCCTCATAATAACCTTGCTCAAGAGTACACAGGTATTAACAGTCTATCTCGGCCCAGAGCCCACACATGTAACCACTCCCCAACATGGCCTCATTGAAACCAGCTGAATCCTCATGAACAGAAACTATGCAGCTAATAGAACAATACTTTCCAGCAGGCTTCACAAATACTCAAATTTTGAAATGATTCAAGTCAGAAACAGTTGAGACTATAACTCTTATGACAATTAAATGCACTTGACTCTCAGCAAATTAAGAATCTGACTTAAAAAATACCCCAGACCTTCAGAGTCCAAGTAAATTCCCCTCAGAAATAGCCAATGAAAAAATATGAGTAGATCTTAAAAGCTCCCATCACAAGAAAATAAATTTTTGTAACTACGTATTGTGACAGATGTTAACTAGACATTGTGATCACGTTGCAATATATACAAATATTGAATCATTATGTTGTACACATGAAACTACTGTTACATGTCAATGATACCTCAATTAAAAAAAAGGGTTAAATGAGGTCATAAGGGTGGGGTCCTAATCCAATAGGACTGGTGTCTTTCTATAACAGAGATATCTCTCTCTGCATGTGCACATAAAGAAAAGGCCTTGTGAAGACACAGCAAGGAGGTGGCCATCTGCAAGCCAAGGACAGAGGCTTCACCAGAAACCAACCCTGTCAGCACCTTGATCTCGGACTTCCAGCCAGAACTGTGAGAAAATAAATGTTTGCTGTTTAAAACAAAAAACTCCTACCAAACAGGAAAGGTCCCCAAACAAAAAGTAGCTGCATTTTATATAGGTCATTTTTGAAAGGGTCTGACATTTCTTTAGCTATAGGTTTCTGCTCCAGTTAATAGTCAAGGTAGACAGAAACCATGAGTTCATGTAATGCAATCAGTGATTAAGCTGCCTAGAATTCTTACATCTTCTAGTAAGCTCCAGATTGTGTAATCTTATTTATTCATTTATTTCTTTAGGAGTTCACATTAAGCACCTATAACTTACACATTATAATTCTTATCATCTATAGCCTACAAATGTTTCCCTCATGTTTAAAGAAAATCAGTGGCAAGGACAAACATACTGATATACTTTGTATTCAAAGATATTGCTACAGACGGCAATAAAGGGAGACACGAATAGGATGCTACAGAGAAAGACTATTCTTTCAGACTTTATGCTCTCATATGCTATTCAGCTGATATGAAAAAATGCCCATTAACAGTATTAGCTCCCATAAGACTCCTATCAAGCATGCTTGTGCCAATTGGGTCTGATCTCTGGCAAGTCTGATACCTGGCTACTGATGGGGGAGTTTTCCCAGTTTTCTTACCTCAGTATGATGTGCACAGATTCCAAACGGGATGTGATGTAAGCTTTGGTGACCTCAGGAGTATAAGTTTCCAGCATGTGGGGCTCCGTGGCTTTCACATATGGCACAGAGGCTGCCAGCCGCTGCCATAGGCTCAAGAGATAATGCACACTATTTGGGGCAAATTCCCAGTGCTAAGGAAAACCAAAAGAGCAGAATGCATATTTCTTATTTTTGAACACAATACATTAAGTCCCATGCCACTTGACACACAAAAAAAGAGGTTTTTTTTTTTCTTTTAAAAAAAGATGATAAACTTTTATGAGCTTTGTTCTGTGTTTGGCAACTAGTCTAATATGTTTATTAGTATTTCAGAGACTGAGCATCTAATGAGAAGAGCAGTTCTATGCTCGGTGTGTAAACCTTTCCACAAGGAAAGCATTGTGTAAGTGGTTCTCAAACATTAGCATGCATGAGAATCACCTGGAGAACTCACTGGAAATAGAGACACCAAGGCTTCACCCTGGACCTAGTGAACCAGAAATTACAGGGGTAAGACCTGAGCACAAATATTATCCTTGCAATTCCCACATGTTCCTCTAAGCATACTCCTCGCACTTTTCTAATACAAACGAGGAGGCTGCAATAGTAACTACTCTGCAGGGTTACCCTACACGTATATTCTTCTTTGCTAAGAGAAAAAAAGAATATTCTTATAAGGTTAAAAGCAATGAGCAAAAGAAGAGGTTCCAATGTGTAGGAAGAAAGAGACAAGCAATGAAAGACAAACCTGTAGGCTGGTCACTGTGAAGTTAGCTATCAATCGGATGACCTCAGGGTAGTTTTCCACCTTTACTAATTCTCCCAGTTGATAGTTACTCTTCAGTCGGGCCAGTAGTCTACAAAACTCATGGTAATTGTTTGGGTCTGATAAACTCTGGTGACAGCATAGGAGGAAAAGAAAATGTACAATGTGATTCACTATACTTCCAGAATGACATTTGGGCTGGCATGAGGGGAGGTGGGGAAATCTACTTTAACTTCTGAGCTGTTATCATTCAGGATGACACGTGTATAATGTTTAAAGATAATTTTTCAAAAATTCACTTTTAAAAGAGATGGTCACATCTATTATCTCATCTATCCATTACAATCATCCTGTGAGATGGGATTATTAGCCTGAACTCAAAGAGCCTGAAACAGAAGTCCAGAAGGATCACACTACTTGCCTTAAGTTGTAAAGCTGATTAATGGCAGAAAAGGGGCACGGTCTAAGATGTGACTGGTCTGTTTGCTTCCCACCAATCGAAGGAAAGATAATAAAATTTTCTTTGTCACATCTGTCAGATTTATCATTAAGCACAACTAAACTACAGTGGCAAAGTTACACAAATGTTTCACATATTTATATTATATCATTACTGCTATAATGAACTTATTTATTCCTATACTAGTATGTTTATATATTTTATTATATACTTATATCAACACTTTTGATTTGTTTGCATATTATAGCAGCAGATTTAATTGCTTCCTTATATATATATATATATATATATATATGTCTTCCTCTTAGCAAAGGAGGGCAGACTGTTTTGTTCACCACCATATCCTTGCCACACGGTAGGTGTTCCATAAAATTTGTTGAACGGATAAATGAACTTCAAAAAAGGGGGACAGAACTGAGTATATTTAAAAATGAACTGATTTTATGATATTTCCCAGTGTAGAGAAGCGACACTTTACAAAACGTAGGTGTTGACTAAATCTCTGGGACTGAAAAAGACAAAAAGGGCAGTCGAGTTATGTAATGAATTTTTGAATGAGAAATATATCCCTTCTCATCTAAAAGCAGCCCTATACGCTTAGGTAAATAATATACATTCAAAAAAACGGAAACAAAAACAAAAAACAAGGTTTAGATTCTTAATTTCTTGGGGGAAAATGACTAGCTCTATTCTTATTTTCCTGCATCCAAGTGATCCTTTCTCACAACTCCTACATTCCTGAAACTAGAGGATACAAACTCCGCTTTTAGGCAAACACTCTCAAGAATTTTCCTACAGATATACATTCACTTAAATCTTTTGAAGCATGACAGGCTGAACTGTCTTCTGGGATTTCTGCTAAGTGTGGCCTCTAGATGGATTTCCTTCTGATTCATAACAGATAAGTATATACTAATCTCACTACACACAAAATCATATATATATACATATAGGCAAATAAAAATAAATTCTCAAATCTTACCTGTGGATTTTCCAGTATTCGTTTAACACCATCGACAAGGTGAGAGAGAAACTTGGCCCTCTCTGCATTGTTAAACAGGGATCTTCTGACGGAGGCGATCTGTACTAAGCAGGACAATACCTAAAAGCAGGGTGCAACCCAAACACAACTGATTAAAAAGATGGTACAGGTATTTTCATGACCCTTTCCCTTCCTATAATATTCTTCTTTACATGTGCCGCTAATTCTGTTCTTTCAACCCCTACTACCATTATAATGATACAGAAAGATCAAAGAGGGTATAGCTTGGTATCTGAAACAGCTTCATTAAAAGGAAAAAAAAAGAGCAGTAGATCCAGGTTGATCATAACTAGTTAAATTCACAGTTTGGAAATTTCATGTAGGTACTATTCTTTGACCACCCCACGGCTTCTTTGATTCTTGTGAAGATACGTATTTAAGGCTTGAAAATACTAAGCAATTTTATAGTTTAAATAAAGCTTCAGATTTAGTTTTTTTCTGTTTTATTAAGGCCTTTTGGCTAATCAGGCTTTGCTATGTAGTGCTATAATGAAATAACCAAGTCAGATCTGTGCCCTGAAAAATCAGCTTTTACACTGAAAACATTTTACCCTTTCCACACTGTACCAGATGTTTATATTCTCTGTTTGCCCCTCCAGATCTATTTTCTTTCCTTCTCCACCCTGCTTTGTTCCCTGGGAGGCTGACTTCTATTGACTAACAACAGCCAAGCTCCCTTGCCCTCTTGCTTCTAGTTGGCTTCAACCACTGGCAAGTACCAGCAGGGGATCAAGGGCAGGAGGAAAGAGGCGCCCCCTCTCCACCCCGGCTGGGCCATGGCTAGCAGAATTTCTCTACCTCTGTACTACAGCTCTCCGCTAAGCCACAGCTTCAGCTCTCTCCAGGGTTTCCTTCCCTCACCACCTTGAGGCCCTCCACTACTGCCAGCCCCATAGGGTGTATGTGACCACCCTTGTTGGACTCCCTTAATTTTGCCCACACCTTTACAAACAGTCCTTTCATTAGTTACTCCCCTTGAGTGCACTACCTTTTCCTGCAGTAAACTGACTGATAAAAACAACACTGAATTCATGTTTCTGCTAAAGCAAAGGTCTACATTAATTTGGAAGTATTACAACGACCAGGAAAGTAGTCTACTGCAGAAACACTATGCAAAACACCCATTACTTTACTGTGTTTTCTTTGTATGTTTTGTACAACAGTATTTTACACCAACAATCTGAAACACTAAATAAACCAACATCTTCTAGGACCTGAATGAATTTTGAGATTTGAGGAGGTTAATTATTGCTTTAAAGGAGAAATGCACCACTCCCAAAAGCTTTCAAATATTATTTGGGATAAGTATGCAAATTTGCCTTCCCAATACAGCTTCCATTTATCACTTATGTAACATAAGCCTGAGAGATTTTCACAAATTTTCTCAGTCAGGACAATCTTTAACTAGACAATATAAGGTGAGTCCCCACACTCTAGCCTGTGGCAATTTGAGGTATAGCATAAAGTCACATACAAGATGAGACCAAAAGAGCTTGACAGCTGCAGCAATTTGTCATTAGACCGGAATAATTTTTAAAAAATTAAGTTAAGATTTTATCGCGAGAACCTTTAAGCTACAAGCTTAATCCCAAAAGGCTAGATAACTAACCCTAGGATTTCTATGCTTTACTTCTATGATCTTGTACAACAAAATGAACCTAAGGCTCATTCACTATTGTTACTTTCGAGAAATAGGTTTGCTTTAGAAACTGTGGTCCTGACTCACCAGAGGTGAAAATGAAGGAGGGATGGAATGATACAGGTCAAAAAACAGCTGCAGAGTTGAAGAATCTAAGAATGCTGAAAGAAAGACAAAAGAGTACTTTATTGGGTATGTCTGCACATTGCTACTGGCACACTCCTGGCACTATATATTAGGGAGCATATCTTTCTGCTTTCTTATCTTACAGAAGGTTTATTGCCTTCGAAAGTGGTAAGCTAATAGGTGCTTTCTGTTTTCCTTTTTTTTAAAGCACTAGTTTTCAGCTCCTCTAAAAAACAGATTCTTCTGATTCTCAGAGAACTTAAGAGAATAAGGACTCTGTTCACAGTAAGAATTTTTGTCCTTAGAAACACAAAAACAAACATAAGCACACATTCTTTTGTTTGATTTTGTTTTTAAAGCTAGACATTACCTCAAATGAACAAGATGACAGAAGTCTCTACGTGATTAATGCAAGGAGGTCAAACTCACATGGTTAGTAAACAGTAACTGAAAGAGTTCTCCCAGGTTGGGGGATCTCTAAGATTCCTCTGACAACCTCCCGCTCACTTTATAAAGATAGATGCCAAAATTCTGAATTTTCTCTTACAGCAAGCAAGGGATTGCCAGGGGTTCTTTAGATCATCCTATAGACACTATCTAGAGCCAGGCAGCAGCCTGTTTCAGGTGGTGCGATTCTGTTACCTGATCTCCAGCTGGTGGGAATCTGTACTGTGCACAGGTCATCTGAGGACTCATCAGTAGAAGTGCCGATGAAATCAAAGTTTAGGCAGTTATGAGTGAGTTTGAGCAGTTGCATGAGCAAACCATGCTGACTTTCATCATTCAAGTTGAGATTCTTTCCTGAAGCCTGTAAAAATCACCACATAATGAGTCCCAAACAATCACTCCTCTCTTCCAAGCTTTCTACCAGACTCATGGACAAGGGGCTGTTAACCGGAAAAGGAGGGGTGTATTTCAGCACAGTACAGTGCTATTCCCCCACCAAAGATGCTGCACTTCTACCACCTTAATGCACTATAAAGATCCTACCTCCTTATTGACCATCAAAACCCATTTACTAGAAAAACATGAAGCTGTTACTTAAAGAAACCCCCCTTTTGACATTTACTCTTTACATGCAGACATAGTGGCCACAGGGAATTCTGAAGCAATATGGAACGTGTGGTGACTTCATTTGCATGTGAGATCCTAGTTACTTCTAGACAGGGCTAGGATTAAACTCTCGGAGGGAGTTTTAGTAAGTTTACACCCTGCCCTACTTTCCTTCCTCTTTTTAACATTACCATCACCAGCATCAACAAAAATCTTTCAAACCAAAACTAAAACAAAACCACCATTGAATTTTATTTATTTGTCGCAGTGTACCTGCCTATAGCTCCATGCTGGTCTGTAGCTACTGTGACTATCAGACACAAAGGTCATACCAGCTGTGACCTCAGTGACTGGCTGGCTAACTGTTTTCAATAGTATCAGTGAGGAGGATTCTATCTTCAGTTTTCTCAAAAGCTTTTCCCCTCCAGGGGTACAACAGCTTTTGCCAGGCAGCTTGCCCAACCTGAGGACTGTTTGGGAATTCTGAGGTAAAACTAGGTAACTGAGGAAAAAGATGGACATCATTAACCCGGACAACAGAAAGAATCCAAACTTGCTTCTAAAATTAAAATTGGGACATACTGGAAAATGAGAACAAGAACAAACAACTCAAAATCCCCCAAATGGGACCGGCCCAGTGGCGCAAGCGGTTAAGTGCGTGTGCTCTGCTACGGTGGCCTGGGGTTTGCCGGTTCAGATCCCGGGTGCGCACCGACGCACTGCTTGTCAAGCCATGCTGTGGCAGCGTCCCATACAAAGTGGAGGAAGATGGGCACGGATGTTAGCCCAGGCCCAGTCTTCCTCAGCAAAAAGAGGAGGATTGGCAGATGTTAGCTCAGGGCTGATCTTCCACACAGGAAAAAAACAAAACAAAACAAAAAAACCCCCAAATGAACAAAAAGCCAGAGGCTAATCCCATTTAGCTTTCTCTACGGACAAAGCATCCACACATTGTTATAAATGTATAGAACTTGTAGGTTAACACTACTTTCTTAGTTCAACTCCATAAATGAATTGAAATTGGTGTTTCAAAATAGGAAGTTGGTGCTTCCTATTTTAAAACAGGTAATTTCCTTATGTGATACTATCTACCCCTTCAGGTTATGAAATCTAAATGGATGTTAAAAATTCTACTTTTCCTTACAGATGTTATTTGTTTATTTGCTGCTTCTGACTCGGCAGGGGACAAGGGAGCCAGCCTAGTTTTAGTATGCTAACAATGTAGTCTGAACCTGCTTTCAGAGAACTCCAAGAATCCAAACACCATAAAGCTAACATGCTTTTACTCCATATAGGAAGATTTTATGTGGGTATAAAACAAGCAAACGATATCTCAACTTTGTGGTAAACTAGATTCCTTTAAAACAGGAGCATGGGATAAGTGGTTCGCTTATTGCTCTTCACCTAGGGGAGGAGATCTGAAACAGGGAAATCACAATCCTTTTTCTAATGTCAGTGGTCAGTCTGGAAAGTTTCTTCAACATCTTGGAGACAGGTGTCATGTAAGAGACGATGATGATTAAAGAGACGCATAAAAACTCCCATGGGTTCAGTTAAGAGCTGATATCTAACAAGTGTCCACTCATTTTCATCCTTTCAAAAGGAACTGGGAAGCAAGACTCAACCTACAGTCTCACCTGTTTTAGTAAATTGCAGGAAAGCGTGAAGATATCAAATAACGATGAATCTCGGAAAGAAGAGGCTATTTTTCTGTGCTTGGTTAAAGGATGCGTGGTGTCTGCCTGTGCAGAAAAATAAATCAATGCAAGTTTTAGAATTAATTGCAAAGACAAACAACTTTCATGGAGACTTCAAATAAATGAGAAGGATTTCCAATAAAAGCAACATAAACACAAAATAGATTTTTAACATTTAAATTACTGTTAAATCATATTTAGTGAAAGGATGCAAAGAGACAATAAGCTCCTAATACCTGGCCGGGATATCACATCTATCGCTTACAGAAGGAAGATGGAAGGAGGAATGATTATATCCACTTCAAAGTTTTAATGTCTTCTGCACTTAGGGAGGTAAAATTTAACAAACTGTTGGCAGATACTGCTAATAATTATTATCATGCTGTATTGTGGCTTAGTCTCAAAAACATCAGCAAGGCTTGGGTCTTGACAGACAATACAGTCAGGGCTGAAGTTACTGCAGAATTTCCAAAACAGTCATGAACCAACAGCCATAAACTTAAGATAAATGACAATAACCTGTAATACTCTTTTCCTTCTCTAACCCATTTCAACATGTAGTCTATACCACAGAAGTGAGCACCTCAATTAAATGGCCGTACCCGTCTCTCACTTACTCCTCTGTTCTTGTCTTTTCAGCCAAATTTTAAAGGTTTTTTGTGGTTAATGACTAAGTCTTTTACTTCTTTAGTATGCTCTCTATTCCTGACACATAGTAGGCATTCAGTAAGTGGAATAAAGGAATTTCAAGGTGGCAAGGGTCTTTTTAGTCCAACCACTTACTGAAAGCTTAAATCTCTTCTTATACACTGACCAATTCACCTAAAAGGGAGCTCACTTTGCTTTTGGTGCATTAAACAATAATGCAGCAAGATTTCTGACAGACAACCAAGTTATTGATCCTCCTTGATTTTATTTCTAAGTTCAAATAGAAACAGTAACAGAAATATACTTTCTGATTTAAATCTGACAACCAAAAAAACCACAGGAAATTAAGTTATATAGAAGTTCAAAATATTCCCCAATTCTAGTTTCAGTGTCACTGTTACCATAAATATCTTGGATAATAAGGTATTGCTAGATTATATATCTCATATATAATCTGTTATGCTTATCATAATACAGAGAATAATTATATGTTAAGTATGTTACACACATTTCTATTGTTTTCTTAAGAATGACAAGCAAAATTTTGAAAAGTTTTTTTTTATACCAACATTGATGTATATTATGGGACCAAGCTTCAAAGGGGAAAACATAAACCCCACAACCTCTGTACTCAGTTAATACATGCTCTCCTACTTTGAAGGCACTGGTGGTTAAGAAAGGCAGTGGTGGTTAAATAATAAGTTAGTTGTTAAGAGCACAGGCTCTGAATAAGACTACATGGGTTTGAATTCAAATATTGTTGCTTGCTAAGTGACACCTTAGGCAAATTATCTAACCTTTATGTGCCTCAGTTTCCTTATCTAGAAAATTTGATAACGACAGTACCTATCTCACAGGACTATTGTGAGAATAAAATTAGTTAATATAAGTAAAGTGCTTAGGACAGTGCCTGTCACATAGTAATCAGTCAAAAGTATACGCTATTATTATTTTGGTAATCACTGACCATAGTGGGGATCGCATGTGACAGAGAACACAATGTGGATCCAGATGTTAACAGACTATAAGCTAGTGCATTTAAAATAGTACCAATTCAGCAATTAAAACTTCTCAGGGTTAATAAAAATGTCTGCATAAATATGAGCAACAGCAACAGTGATGCCAACGTAATTAACAGCTGACGACTGAAGGGTGAGATGTTATAACTAATATTAATACTGGCCTGTTCAATAATTATAAAATTTTAGGTGGATACAAAAGTAAATGAAAAAATAACAGCCAGAGCAAAAGAAAGCCATTGGTGTTTCCTCTGTAGTGACCTGTGACATCAATGACTATTTAAACAATTATTTGGTATTTAGCAGAATGTTCCGTGCATTCTGAAAAGATTATCAGCAAAATCTTTAATAATAGCACATGGGGATTGATTTTCGAGTGATTATAAACACATAATAAAGTATACAGCAGAAGGGGCACACAAATTATGCTGGTTCCATTTTTGTGATCCCTTTTTTGGACTCATTCTCTTTCATTAGCAAAGCAATTACTTTCATTAAAGTTTTGACTTAGGACCACTGCCCTCATCTCTAACAATGAACATTAACAGTGAGGAAAGCTGAGATGGGAGGATAAAATATTCTGGAAACAGAAGAGGACCAGGACAATAAGAGTGAGGTAGATTGCTCTTACAGAGGAAAACCCAATGGAACTATTTTGTTTCAAAAGGGCATTAATCACTTACCGCAAAAGCACACAACTGCCAAAAAAGATCATCCCACACAGAGCAGAAAACACCAATACTAAGAAAAAATATGGCACTTACTTCAATGAGGAAGGCTGTAGCACTTACTTGATTAATTTCATTGGTTAGCTGAGATAAAATTGTGACGCCAATGATGCAGTATTCAACACTATCCTGGTAAAAAATGTAAGGCAGAAAGAGTTGGCGTGTGCAGCTTGACTTCAGCATTTGGAATGAAGTCATACTTTTAAAATGACACAGTCCTGTGTCGCTATTAAAACTGCCTAGACAAGGTAGTAAGGAATTATAGTTTAAAACTGTTGTTATGCAGGACATAAAACCTAACTGCCATAAAGGAAGACTGCTAAATCTGACTTCATCACAACGGAAACCTGTTGTATTTTAAAAATCCCCATAAGCATTATACCATACACATTATAAAAAGAGAAACTGGCAAATCACACTTAAGATAAATGATGAATGTGTAACAAAATTTATAAAGAGACTATATACAACAAGATAAAGGCAAAGAATCCAATAAAAAAAAGTACATAATACATAAATAGAAAGTTCACAGAAAAACAAAAATAAGCAGTAAATTTAACATATGAAAATTAGTTCATCTCATTCATAATTCATATGCTGAGATACCAATTCTTTTTACCTATTAAATTGGAAAAATAAAAAAGGTGAGCTCCCAGGATGGAGGTACAGGGACATAGGCACTCTTTTCATTGTTGGAGGAACTAACTTCTTTTGAGGGTAATTTGGAAGTATCCTTGAAAGCCAAAAATACACCTATCCCTTTGACCGAATAATCCCAAATCAGGAATTCACCCTACAAACACACTTATTCAAAGCATGACAGGATATATACACTAGGATGTTCAGTGAATTATTTATTTACCATTCAAAGTACAGGAACAAACGAAATGCCCACCTATAAGAGATTAGTGACATTGTGGTATTTTAGATTGGAACAGTATGTAGGCATTAGAAAGAATGAAGTAGGGTTTCGTGTGCTGGCATGTAAACACGTAAAGCCAAGACATACTAAGGATAAAAAAGACGGAAGAGATTGTACCAAATAATTCCATTTTGTGTAATTTTCAAAAAGTAGATCAGTATATAACTAAGTATATATGTTGCTTCTCCCATTCCTATTATATCAAATATACACATCATACCTGTAAAAACCTTGTGACATCTGTGATTGCATTTCTGAAGACATAGTCATCCTTCTGACAGTCAAACCAGCCCAGTTTTGTGATTCTGGCATATAACTGAATAAGTGCTTGTGTTACGAAAGTAGCCAACTTTGGCCGAGTGGCAAGGTAGTTGAGCACATAGTTCCCTATAAAGCAAAAATAATCCACATAACAAAAAGCTCTGCTAGGGAAGGGTCTACATCTTTAAACTTGACAAATGTCCAAGAAATGGTAAATTTAGACTATTTAACTCTAAACTCCCTTAACTCCACAAGCTACTGAGAAAAAGAACTTTGAATTCAAGATTAGTAGGCTTTCCAACTCAGAATTTTCTACTTGTCACAATGAAGAAGCTGAAGTATGGCAGCCTTGAATCTACTCCTAGATAGTTAAATAACATGGTCTGCACAGAATTAGTAATCCTTAACAATGTTTTTCTTAGTTGTTAGTGGCAGTGAAGACTGAATGAAAGAAACCTCCTGACAACAAAAGGAATGACTTAAGCTTGATCTAGAAGTAATTATATGGGGCCTTCTTCACTTTCATAAGGCCAAAATTCCGGAAAAAAACCTGGATTCTAGATATTCTGTATGCTTAGCAATTTCAGAACATTATCAAACAAGCAACATAAATTTAACTATTACTAGCAAATTACTAAACAAACTAATCTCTTTAAGAGACAACAGACAATTCTCTACTTACGAATATCTATTCGTTGTTCCAATGGTAGAGGGTTGTTTGTGCGTGATACAAGCTTTGTAAGGCATGTAGCTGCCAGTAACTGGGAGTAAGATGACTGTGAAAAGAGAGGAGGAAAGGACTTAGAATTCAATTTTATTGAGTTAGTCATAAGATTTTTTATTTGGAGATCTGTGCTCAGATTCAAGAAAAAGTAACCAGTATTGCTATATTTGATCCTCCAGATTTTAGAGGATCTATCATTCTAAGGAAAAATGAATCCACACAGCATATGTGCTCGTTTCGCTGATTTCAATCACAAACAGGGGCAGGATAAAGTAAATGGCCTGAACAAACAGAATCCAATACAGACATCTGCCTCACTTTGGAGGGGGGACGCTAGAGGGGATCTTTTCAGAAAGATATCAAGATCTTCAGAAGACAAATCTCTTCTGTGATTTAAACCAAGAAATCTTCTCCCTTCAATAGCCTTGTTATAGCAATGTTTCAAAAAGCTTCACCTCAGAATTCCTACAGAATAGTATTAGAAAAAATAAAACAGGAAGTATTAGAGGGAACCACCACATTACACTGTATAGTTAATTCCAAATTATATCTTTCCGTCAGCACAGCTATCAGTCAGCTACAGCTTTGGGGAATATACATGCTAGTTTTAAAGTAAATTCAGGGCCGGCCCCATGGCTTAGTGGTTAAGTGTGTGCGCTCTGTTACTGGCGGCCCGGGTTCGAATCGCGGGCACGTACCGCTTCTCCGGCCATGCTGAGGCCGTGTCCCACATACAGCAACTAGAAGGATGTGCAGCTATGACGTACAACTATCTACTGGGGCTTTGGGGAAAAAAATGGAGGAAGATTGGCAATAGATGTTAATTCAGAGCCGGTCTTCCTCAGCAAAAAGAGGAGGATTAGCATGGATGTTAGCTCAGGGCTGATCTTCCTCACCAAAAAAAAACCAAAAAAGCAAAAAGTAAATTCATAACAATTATTTATGAGAAAGGAAAATTATGCCCTAAGCAATGGAATAGCATTATCATATTCTCAAGTTCAGATTTTAATGAATTTTAACCTTATGGAGAATCAGAGTATTCTATCTGATCATAATGTATAAGAAGGAGCCGTGTGGGAATTTCTCTATGTGGCTATAGTATATAATGTCATATAACAGGGACAGACTCAGAACCATCAAAATAATTTAATCAAGGGTCAAGGATAATTTGCCATGAAACTATAAACCCTTAAGACAGTAAGCTATCCACAGGCATTGCATAATACCATCAGTTATAAAAAAAATTTAAGCTTAAAAAAAAATCTATAAAAATGATTTTGACGTGATTTTTACTCAACACCCCTGAACGTAGTTTAAATTGATTACAGCAGGTGTGTCAAATCACTAATAATGCAAGAGAGACTATACCTACAGAATACAGTATATTAACTATACACTATATAACATGTAAATGGTTTTTACACATAATTCCAATAAATCTGCTAAGTCACTAAGAAGTCAACAGAGATTAAAAAGGAAGAATCCACTATAATTAAGTGTTTTTAGTACTGCACCAATCCTATTTTATTCCAGCCTGTTGACCGTCAACATGAGGAACCGGAGTTAACAGAGCCCAAGATGACACTGGGGCTCCAGTGGGAGTCAACTAGAAGAGCTGGTTGTGCATCTCCCACAGTACAAATGTAAGTGGATCAATCCTAAGACTGAATGATTGAAAAGAAATATACAAATACTACATGTGAAAACAAAACAGAGCACTAGACAATCTCTGACCACGACTCTGTAATGCTCAGCCACTGAAGGATAATTTTTATCCAATTGTAATTTGTTCTATTTACTGCATTAATAGTGTAACCCAACTAATGAAAATTAAAAAATGAAGCCATCTAGAATTCTACCCTCTCAACAAATGAACTGTTTTTGTTCTTTTCACATTTCCTTCCAGTCCTAAGCGCAGTGTTAGCTGCTAGTCTAGTTGGGATTTTTTTTTTTTTTTGTGAGGAAGATCAGCCCTGAGCTAACATCCGTGCTAATCCTCCTTTTTTTTTTTTTTTTTTAAATTTTATTTATTTATTTTTTCCCCCAAAGCCCCAGCAGATAGCTGCATGTCACAGCTGCACATCCCTCCAGTTGCTGCATGTGGGACGCGGCCTCAGCACGGCCGGAGAAGCGGTGCATTGGTGCGCGCCCGGGATCCGAACCCGGGCCACCAGCAGCGGAGCACGCACACCTAACCGCCAAGCCACGGGGCCAGCCCCTAATCCTCCTCTTTTTGCTGAGGAAGACCGGCTCTGACCTAACATCTATTGCCAATCCTCCTCATTTTTTTTCCCCCAAAGCCCCAGTAGATAGTTGTATGTCATAGCTGCACATCCTTCTAGTTGCTGTATGTGGGACACGGCCCCAGCATGGCCGGAGAAGCGATACGTAGGTGCGCACCCAGGATCCAAACCCGGGCCGCCAGTAGCGGAGCGCGTGCACTTAACCACTAAGCCACGGGGCAGGCCTCTAGTTGGGATTCTGATTCTCTCAGTGCCCCTTCATGAAACCCTGGTTGGGTACTTACCCTCCCTAACACCTCCACCTTGCCAAAAATATTAATTTAATCAAATTATGTCTCAATAAAAGCATCACTTTGATCACTGCATTGCCATTTTTAAGCTAGAAGAGGCTCTAATTCCATTTTTTTTTAATATATAATTTTATTTATTTATTTTTTCCCTCAAAGCCCCAGTAGATAGTTGTATGTCATAGCTGCACATCCTTCTAGTTGCTGTATGTGGGACGCGGCCCCAGCATGGCCGGAGAAGCGGTGCGTAGGTGCGCACCCGGGATCTGAACCCGGGCTGCCAGCAGTGGAGCGCACGCACTCAACCACTAAGCCACGGGGTCGGCCCTCTAATTCCATTTTTAAAACTATACTTCCTTTAATTTCATTGTCAAGATCATTTTTACCCTACACTTGTAAGGCAATAAGAAGCAGCTGTGGTACAGAGGAGGAAAAACAGAGAAAACTGGGGATCTTGTATGATGACATGGACTTTGTGGATAAGAAAAGTCACTATATACAGGCCTATTTTCTTTGTAAAGGATAGGAGGTGGTACTTAAGTGTAAAACAGAAAAGGAGTCCCAGAAGTTTGATTCAAGATGAAAAATGACAGGACAAAATATATGTTCACCAAGATTTTCCTGATGAGGCTGTATAGTATTTTTTGCCAACCTGGCAGGTATGGTGCTTTTTAAAAGTAAAATTAAGAAGGCAGAGGCACCTAGAAGAATCAAGAAACAGAAGCTATCCCAATCCACCCCTAAACTTAGAACCAGGATATATTTTCCTAAACCTCTGTTATCCTTCAGGAATTTTCAAATCTTACGTACACTTCCTCTTTCAAGGAGTAGCTGGCACTTGCTCAGGCAATCGGGGCTGTTGGTGAATTCAACCAAGGCTTTCTCTGCCTGGAGTCGAGTGGTTGTATCTGTTGTTTCATACAGCTGTTTGCACAGATTCTCTAGTTGGGCCAGGCTCTGGAAAAGATCAGTCAAGAAAGAAGTCAGTACAGCCTACCATACATGCAAGGTACTGTGCTCAAAATTACTGGACAAAGATAAATAATAATCAATGAAGACAGATTTGCTTCTCAACTCTGAGGAGAATCTGGGTAACCTTTATCTAATAACCATTTATAGTTCTCTTTATTTGATACTTTGGAAGACAAAAATGATAGAATGCCTAAAATATCTATATAATTTCTCAGTCATTCCCTTAAAGATCAATCACAAATGATACATTTTTCCTTGCAAATATCCATCCTCCTAAGCTTTTCCAAAAGGCTTTCAAATAAAAATTTAGAATTTACTTGTTCTGCCATCAACTTCAAAATTGTGGATACTAGAGGCATTGCTGTAAAATTACGCACACCAACACGTAAGTGTCACACATATCTTTATGTAGTTTTAAATATTTCCCCTTCACCTAGTAATTATTAGCTCTCAATTAAGTATACGAATGAAGATGGCCAAGCTCTAGGGGAAAGCTTCAGAATGCATGTACGCACCTTCCTCCCTGGGTCCCTCATGTCTAAAGTTCAGTAGGCTCTCTTCTCCTGTTGTACTTTAAACTCTTGCTTTGCTTCCAAATTTAAAATGGAAGGGTCAAAATAAATTCAACCCTAGCATATGCTCACACAGAGATAAGACAAGGGAAACGCCCCCAAACAAACCCTACTCTCCAAATCTTGAACCAGTTCCAGGGAGGGAGGAAAGGGATGGGTGTGTGCTTTGGTCAAAACCCCAAAAGGATGCAAATCTACTTCCACTTAATGCCACGTTCAAAAGCAAAGAGGAAAGGAACTAGTAAGAGTTCATCTTTCACTGACTGGAGAGGGGAGCAAACATCTGTTAGCCTTTAAAGGAATGGTTTGGACTTTAAGAAGATATTCTGAGCCTATTTTCTACCGTAGCAAGCAAGATTTGGTTTAAACAGTTTGTGGGATCCTACTGTTAGAAACGACAATTCTGATAAGAACAAAAATAACAGTAATTAAACAAACCAACCTGTGCAAATAGCCTAAAATATATTACACAGCCAGTCTGCCCAAGGCTTTTCATTATCACTTTATTTCATTATGCTGTGACTATAAATCACAGCTTTTCCACTAAGCAGGAAAACCCTTAGGGCAGGATACCCATTTTACTCAACCTGATTAATAACTTTCAAACATTAACCTAAAGGAAACAAGAAAGACAAATACTAACACTCTAAGATCATCAGTTTCACTTCGGAGAGCCCCCAAAGAACAAAAACAACTCCCACTCCAAAGCAAAACAAACAAACCACCCTTCAAAACATCTTGGGACTCTGATTTGGCCCATGTTTAATTTGTTCTGTCTGACTTCCAAGGGTCCCACTTAACGCCTTCTTCAATCCAAAAGCACAGAGAAAGTTGCACTTGCAAAGTCAGATCTCAACTAACGATGTTCTATAAGCAGTACTTGATTTTTTCACATAGCTTATAAACACAAGGAATAGAGAATAAAGCTAATTTACATATACTCCATAAAACACAAGTGAAAATCAGGGGTATGCTTGCCAATACTGACCCAAGACCCTAATGATGAATTAGTTAAATTATAAATCCCCACACTCCTAAGCAAGGGATTAAATCTCCTTCATGAGGTTTCATTTCAACCTAGCAGGCTGGTTTTTCCCCTCCTCCTATAAAATGATTCACTTAAAAGAAAGGGAAAAAGTTTAAACAATAGGTAATGCATAACACATCAAGAGAAAGACACCCTAACTAAAACTGAAAAGTAGCTATAAAATCGGGTATTAGGTATTAGGGAGCAGTAGCAGCCTCATAACCTCCATAGCCACCACACACTTGGAGCTTTCCAATATCCTGAACAGATACTCTCTAAACAGTCATGCTGCTTACCACGTAATGACTCTCCTTAAAGTCTGATCAATCAGTTCCAGTAGCTCCCCCAGGGCAACTCTTGTTTATGCTTATTACAACAAAGTTGCTCACATGACAATGGCTAAGCATCTGTCACTAGTAGCTCCTTACTGCTAAAAACCTACATGCAGGTTATGATGGGCTTTTTTGGTTGTTGTTTTGTTTTGATTTGTTTTAATTTAGCAGACAAAAACATACTGCAGAGTAAGTCTAGTAATGAGTTCTCAGCTCAGGAAACAAGATTGTTTAAAAAACAAAAAAGTAATTTGACCATTTACACCAACAGTTTGAAGAACTATAGCTCTATTTCTTTGTTTGCAGAAGAACAAATGGAAACAATTTTGTTTTCCCAAACAATTAGTGGAAAGATCTAAGAACCACAGGGCTAACAGTCACTTTATTTGGGTTGCCCATACTCGCAGTGGAAGGAGAGGGGAATATGGGCAACGAGACACTTACCTTTATGTTCTTTTGGATCCAAGTGTTTCCAAAACTCATCTAATAGTTAGATGATTTTGAATCACCCTTTTTGGGGGCCCAGAATAAAATAATTTATCCTACAATGACTTGATTAGCTATTAAAACTAGTACCTCACATTTAGAGTAGCAACACACCACAGCATCTTCCCACTTTGCGCAGTAACGCTTGTATTAAACCTGCTCCCATTCACTACTTCTTATTAAGGACATCTATTACGTGATGCCAGCTCAGTCACAGAAAAGTCACCAGAGAAGAATGTCTACTTTCTGTTCCTAAGATTGCCAAACCTATGAAAAACAGAGAAACTTCTATCTGGTCCTAGTGGAACAGAAAAGCACGTTTGGGTGAAATACTTCACAAAACTGGAAGGTGATCAACTGCGAAGTACTGCTTTAGTACAAGAAACTCAAGACAATCAAACCCCCACACCTAGACCACACTGATTTCACCAATAAGAGTTACAATAAAGGTATTAAAAGAATTTATCTTCTTTAATATTTGGCAATATTATTTTATACAGTCTTTTAAATCTAGATAGAGAAAATGAAGCTCAATTATTCTCATTTCAATATAATGATTTATCTGAAGAGTTGCCTCTAGTTAGAGAAAAAAGGATTTTTTTTGTACATCAGATGTTATATTACTCCACAAAGCAGAATACCTTGGAATTTATTTTAACTTGTAAAATACTGTATAAAAGGCCTGACAGTATATACTTTTTTGTGTGTGTGTGTATGAGAAAGATCAGCCCTATGCCAACATCTGCCAATCCTCCTCTTTTTTTTTCTGAGGAAGACTGGCCCTGGGCTAACATCCATGCCCATCTTCCTCCACTTTATATGGGACGCCGCCACAGCATGGCTTGCCAAGCGGTGGGTCGGTGCGCGCCTGGGATCTGACCCGGCGAACCCTGGGCCGCCCCAGCGGAGCACGCGCACTTAACCTCTTGCGCCACCAGGCCGGCCCCGGTATATACTTGTAAGTTAGCCTCACTGCTTAAAAAAAATATCCACTTGGAGATTTCCAGAGACTAGATATTCTCTTTTCAGAAGGATCTGACGACATTCCCAGTAATGCCGAGTACTGCACTAAAAAACAAGCACAACCTTTGGACGACTAGTAAGATCTGCAGGTTCTCTGACAGCCACCCGAGCCACCCGAAATGATCAGCAGCCACCATCCTACCAAAGTGTAAAGTGCAGGCTCAATCCAGAGAAGTCCTCACGAAGAATATAGGGCAGAATTACCAATTCAGTAGAGGAATTTTCATTATTAAGATGACAAATATAAAAAGAACTGCTGAAAAATCAAGCCACTTTCAATCTGTTTGATTGATTTAGATCTTCCTTAGCTGGAATTTATGTTTACTAGGAAAATATTATGTTAAGTAAATTAAAAGATGCGTATTGAACCTGCCAGAAAATGAACCATTTTAAAGATCTAGGCCCTGCCTGGTGGCATAGTGGTTAAGTTCGCAGGCTGCGCTTTGGTGGCCCGGGGTTTGCAGGTTCGAGTCCTGGGTGCAGACTGACACACCACTCATCAAGCCATGCTGTGGTGGCATCCCACATACAAAATAGAGGAAGACTGGCATGGATGTTAGCTCAGGGCCAATCTTCCTCACCAAAAAAATAAATAAATAAATAAAATAAAGATCTATAAGTAAGGTTAATAAAATTGATATACTAATTACATTTTAGTTTTATCTGTTCAATAAGGCATTCTTATTGTCAATAATGAGTATCCAATTATCATAGATAATATTTTTTAAAAACTCTTAAAATTCAGTAACAACAATTATTGTTAGGTTAAAGAAGCAAGTGGCAAAATAGTATGTAGAGTATATCATTTGTGATATATGTTAGCAAATTCATAGAAGAAAATCTGGATGAATACAAACCAAACAATTATCTCTGGAAGGTGAGATTATGGGAGACTTTCAATTTCTGTTACACATTTCTGTAAGTTCTAAATTTTTCACCACAACCATACATTTCTTTTAAGCAGGAAAAAAACCCCAACAACTGTACTGATAAATATTTTTTAAAAGGGCAAATTTAAGCTACCCTCTTTTTCTAAATGAACTCTTCTATTAGTGAAGTATTACTAATTAACAGCTGATTCTGTTTCAATCAGAATTCATAAAACAAATTCATAAAGCCAGAAATGCAAATGTCTATTCCAAACACTAAATTTTTTTAAAGTATGTCTGTGTTTATTACTACTTTTATTTCATTTTTTATTACTAATAATAAATGTTGATAGGTTAAATGGCCTGAAAAGAACATTCCATGCAAGGTTTCCTCTTGTTTATAAAGTTATCTAGAAGGTAATCTTGTGCGCCAAAGCTATTTTGGTTTTATACATATATCGGCAGATCTCTAAGATGTTATTCACTGCAGTGGAGTCAATGGGGGGAAAAGGAGCTAGCTCTTTGAATGAGAATGTTTATATAAACAAACTATTTATTTTTAAAAGTTAAAGAAAAAAAGTTTACAAAGCCAGTGCAAAAGACTTGAATCTGGACTTTACAAGAGGATATCCAAATGGCCAATAAGCAAATGAAAGGTGCTGAATCTCAATAATCATCAGAAAATGTAAATTAAAACCACAATGAGATATCCATTAGAATGACTGAAATGAAAAAGCCAAGATCAAGATGGTTAGGATGTGAAACAACTAGAAGTCATACACTGCTAGGAGTCTGAACTGGTTCAAACACATTGGAAAACTGGCAATATACGGATATCCTATGACCCAGCCACTCCACTCCCAGGTATATACCTATACCCAACATAGATATGGGCCAAGTTCACCAGAAAAACATGTACAAGAATGTTCATGGCAGCACTAAATCTAATAGCTCCCAAATGGAAAGCCACATGTCCACCAATAGTAGTATGGATAAATGTTTCATTTCTTAATCTGGGTGCTGGTTACACAGGCGTGTTCATTTTGAGAAAATCCATTGAACTGTACATTTATAATTCGCATATTTTTCTATATGTACGTTATAATTCAATAAGATGCTTTACAAAAAGATAGATGAATGCCACAGTTCTCCCAAAATTCTCCAGGTATTTACTCTCATCTATTTTTTTCTGATACTAATGAAAAAGAAGTTCATCAGTAACTGATAACTGTGCTTTAGATTTAGAATGCTTTAGTTTTTACATCAGTTCATGCTTTTA